AGAAGATGAATGATAAAAAAAGCCACGTAATAAAGGGCAAATGTCTTTTTGGGGCTCATGCTCTCTCTCTCTCTCTCTGCCTTTCCCTTTTTTTTAATCCTTCCTTTTAGTAGTTGGAAATCACAAAAATACTTTTTGGATGAATGCAACATGATGCGGATTCTTACACATCTCTCTTTCTGTTGTTTTTTTTGATTGAGCAAAAGGCAATCAGCCTAGAAAGCTTTCTCATTCACATCTGTTCAAAAGAAAACGCCTAAAATAAGAAATTCGGGATCGGGATCAGCAAAAGGGAAAAAGGTTTCCACTCTTCCTCTCGATGGGGAGGCGGAGGGGGCAAAAGACCAACTTGATCACAACCTTTGTCATGGCAAAATGGGGAGCCCCCAATGTCAAAATGTTACCAAGTTAAGCGCTAACCTGGTTGTTTAAACCGACCTTACACTGCAAGGGAAGGAGTTGGGCTTTACAGCAGTTTCCGAGCAAGGAGGATAAAAGAATCTGGAGATTGATACGCTGTGCGTGTGTGAGATGGAAAGGTTTTCATTTGTTTCCTTTTAGAAAAGCCCATTCCTTCCCACAGCTGTGTATCTCCAAAAAAGAAGGGGGGAGTGAGATGGCTTTTTCTCAACACACACACACCGAGGTCATACTGCTCATCTTTTCCTCCGCAGCTTTTGCTAGACAAATGACACACTTTTGTCTTCCCCAATCCTGAGCCTCTTGAACCCACGGGAACATTTTGTGTCAAAGGATGATAGCATGGCCAAGTATTGTGCCTCTCTCTCTCTCTCTGCAAACTATCCATGTGACGCATACCACACAAAAGGCCATTTTGCCATACAAAACATGATGCCATGTTGGCAATGACAATAAAGCCCCTTCTGGTTCCTCCAACTCGAGGAGTGCACCCGCCATTCACACACACACACTGGCATAAAGCCCCCCAAATACATTTCGCAAGGCACTGCCAGGCAGATTGAAATCAAAAAAGCCAAAAATAAACATATCCAGGGAGGCTTTTTCCAGCCTGGCCCATCTGACACACTCACACACATTTTTGGCGCAGAAGAGAGAGAGACAGAAGGACCGCAATCGATCAAACGAGGGCACTCAGCAGGCGGAGCCGTGGCATTTTGCAGAGTGCTTTATTGACCCTGCTTTTTTGGGAGGTTTTTGTGATATCAAGCAACTTGTAAAGCCATCAAAAACAGATCAAGTACTAGTTATGGCAAGTTGTCAAATGATGATGAAAAGGGTATATCACTTTGCAAACCATGCTTGAACGTCAAAAAAGCCTTGTGTTATTGTCCACCAAAAAACACTTCTTTGTCCTTGACAGTCGTTTCTCGATCCCTAGAAATATATACACATGACGTATCCTGCATGCTTTCACCAATCAATGCCCATACGCTCTCCAATGCCTTGCACTCGAATTCAATGACAAAACATTGATCTAAAGAAACCAATTTTCGGGCATCAGCAAGCCCCATTCTCCCGTGTCCATCTCGGGCTTTTTTTTTTTGCAGCAAAACCTCGTGCCCCAAAGGTCCACACACATTACCTTTCTGCCCTGCGACCGTTTTGATTCGATCGTCTCCAACATGTCCAAACAAGAGGTTTACATCCCCTGCAGAGTACGTTCGTTCCTTGATCCGGGTAATGGAGACCTGATCTTGGAGCTTCCAAAGGATATGCAGTGTCACATCCTCTGGTGCAAAAGAGATCATTGTGCGATTCTGGAAAAAATCCCCAATGAAATTGGTTTTTCAAACGTCTCATGTGAGTTTCTGCTCATAAATTGCTTGTTTAAAAAAAAAAAAAAAAAAGTGGGTTTGACAAACCTCCTCGTCAGAGCGTCGTGACGGACGACCTAATGCCAATGGTACAATACCCGCATGGGTGACGTCCACCTGAACAGTTTCTTGCACGTCCACAGGAAGACGTGGATAATCCTCAGCTTCCTGTTAAACGAGTTGGTCATAAACATCATGCGCTCAACAAAAAAAATAACCTTGAACAGAAAAACTCACTAGCGGCGCCTCCAAAGACCAATTCTTTCCCGTCGAGTCATTAAAATCATATACATTACTCCACTCATTCCTCAACAGCGGCAGCTTTGCTTGACGGAATTGATCTGAAAAACAACTCCTTTCAACAAACGGCACCGATTTCCCCCATTCACTAATCGAATTAAAACCTACCACGCAACCGAGGATAACTATACCGAAAACAACTGAACCGAATCCCAAAAGACGTTTCAATGACAGGCTGCGTTGCGCAATAGAGGGATATACGCAGAGAGTGACCGTCTCGTAAACTAGACGAACGGCACACATTTCAATTCGTATCGCACCAAGTGCATATGAACGTTTTTTTCTTGCATACCGAAACTGTTGACTGGCGACGACCACAGTACAATCCCGACAATCTCTAATAAACACACTTCCTTCGCACGGTGCAATGAAAATAAAACACCGATGACAAGCGTCAATAGTAACTTGAGCCGTCCGATCAAAAAGATGGATACTACAATCCTATCATTCTGTCAACACCAAGATTGATATAAACAGATATGGACAGCATACATTACCTCGCAATCCTCAATATTAAATGGCATCCCCTCTGGAATAGATCCAGGAGGTTTGACCACATCCTGTTTGACGAGTTTTGAAAACAAAAAGTCTGCGGCATTGTATTTTGGTGGTGGTGGTGGGACCTCTGGTATAGGTTTCTCTATTTTTTGAGTTGATGTGCATGCCGGTTCTGGTTGTCCCCTCTTTTCCTTTTGTTTGGATTTGAGATGCAAAAACTCGACGGCTCGTTGAATCCATTGTGGGAGCTTAAGGAATCCCATTATTGGGAGTTTTATTTTTTTTGATATTGGTAAAGAAACCGTGGCTATCAAAACCTGCCTTGAAACTTTGGAAATGGCCCTCTTTGGGCCACAATTTTGTTTGCAGAACTAGACGTCTTTACCTATCTTGGTCTTGCACAGGCTGGGCTATTCACACCAGACCATATGAGCAATGTTATCAGGATAAATACATCACAAACTGACGATAGATATAGGGAGTACTTCATTTTTTTCGTCAACTTTGCAACATCAGTCAACACAAGGTTCCATCCTTTCACTATCCTATCTCGTCTCTTCACTACGGTTAAACAACAATCCAAGCGCTTTTTTATTTCGCCCTCTCACACTTCTATACATATTTGTGAACGCAAACGACATTCACAATATTCACCGAGTAGGTCTATAACGCGAAATGTTCACGCCCCATTTGGGACACCCGACAGTCGGAATACAAAAAGAGTCTACACAACGGGCCAGGCGTCAAAAGAGTCTCTCTAATTGTAGTAAATATATATACGTCTATGATTACAATGAAAAAAAAAAAAAGATGTATGCATCTATGCACATGACAAAAATTCCAAATAACTGCTCCAAAGGTCGGAAAAACGACAAGCAAAAAAAATTCCACAACAGCAACCCTTTTTAGACACGCCAACGGGAAGACGTGCCACTGAGAGCCGGCGCAAGCGTTAACCCACTCTCATCCTCCTCAGAAGCCTCACCCCGAAACTCCCGTCGATGGCCAATGTCTTCTCGCTCACGTTCACCTCTTCGTCGAGGTTCTCCTTTCCCCAGCATGGGCTTAACAGTCTCCTCAAGAGCCTCATCCGGAACAAACTCGGGTGAGACTTGTGGAGCACTACGACGTGACGATGGGTTATTCGCTTCCCATTCCTTATAAGTATGATAAACCTGGAACCCGACTTCAATCATGATGAGAATAATGATTCCCCATTCCAGTCCGGTAGAGTGTTTTGTGTGGAGGTGACTGCGAATGACTTCAGTCAACTCATTTGCATAGTCTAATTTTTTATTAAAGACGGCGATCCGCGGTCGGACGTCCAGGTTACGCGATATTCGGTCAAATATGTCTTCCATTTTGGCACTCGACCAGCAAAAATCGGGAGAGTCGAGGAGTTCACCGTGGAGGTTTAGATGACCTCGTAGAGAAAAGAGTTCACCAAGGTTTTGTAGCACGGCTGCACGGCTGAGCGGAAGTTTTTTGCCTTGCAAGAGGACTTGAGGGATGTGACGGTTCTTTTCCAAATGCTTTTCAAGCATTTCCTCAAGTGCAGCCAACTTTACGGATCGCGCCAGACCAGACGAGTATGCTAATCTCGCTTGATGTGCGGGGAGAGAGTTGCCAATAATGATAGTATCAGCGGTGAGTCCTCCAGCCCTATTGATACAACGTTAATAAAATACAAAAACCCAGCATATAATAGCATGTAAACTCACTGGTCAAGATCCACACAATAATGAAACCACTCAGTTTCTGCTTCCTTGTACGGATTAATCTCCACCTGCTTCACCAAACGCAACAAGGCCGCATTCTGCGCATCCGTCGCACCCCACGTCGCAAACGTTCCATCCCGAAATATAAACGCTTCTGCGTCATGTCCTGCTGAACTAGAAATCGACTCTGATGGGTTCACAAGACGAATATGATACACATCATCGGCAATGAAGGGAAGTAAAAGGTATTTCCTCTGCAAGAGAGGTAAGAGAGTCGTAAAGTTGTAATTTTCAGCGGTGCAGTAGGCGGTGGCTCGCATTCCTTCGTCCATAGGCGGTACCACAACAGATGGCTGCCCAGATTCTTCTCTTCCAACATCCCGCACTCCCTTCTTTTTTTTTGCTCTCCAATTGGGACCTGAAGGGCGGTTGTCCTCTACCCGTGGGTTAGCTCCAATCCGGATAATTGGAGAAGTTGTAAAGGCACGGCTTAATCGCTGTTGGACCGGACGTTGAACATGTAGTTCACATGCTCGTCGCAGTGATGGAGAGAATGCCTATGAAAACGTAAATAAAAGGCATTCAAGACACAATTAACAGGCATGAAAGATGAATGGATCTTACCTTTTGCGAGCTCTGGCAGACTAGTCTTTTGAGTCCGCCAAGCATTCTTGGTTTGATTGAAGCCATTTGGTTTTTTCAATTCAAAAGGAGAAGAGGTGCTTGCTTTGTCAAAGATCTTAAGGTCGCAAGCCCCTAGCAACCGATGACACACCGGTATCCATGAACGCGCTGCTGCTATCACGATTTCAATCATGACGTGTAAATCCGATATTTGGTTCAAGACCAGAGGATCCAGCCCAAAAAAACGTGTGAAATATATTTACAAACATAAAGGGGTATATACTTTATCTCAAAACCAAAACCTTCCACCAGTACAGAGTTTTGCACAAAAAAATAGGGTTGTGAGACAAACAAAAATGTACATCAGCAAAAAAAAGCTCAAAACTGCTATATGCGTTCAAGCATTGCAATGGATATCAAGTGATATTCCACTGGTTCCTCAAAGCTTCCACATCCTTCACCACAAACTGATCACCCTTCTCCACCGCAAAGGATCTGACAAAAGTCGACACCAGACCTTTGCACTCTGCAGAAAAGGATATGGTCGAAAGGTTGGGAGCACGGTCCAAGATGAGTTTTAGACCAGGAGGTTCGACCGTAATCCGCGACTGGAGTTCGACATGCGTCAAGGCAGGAAAGGATTGTACCGGGCCTGAAGCAGAACCAGATTGCGTCCCAATGTTCATGTTAACATATGTCCCATTGGGGCCCTCCTCACTCACATCCCCACCTCTGACTTCCCCACCCACAAGCACAATTCGCTCTACAACCTGCCCACAACTTCCAGCCAATATTTCCATTCCAGTCTCATCCAGTTCGCACACTTCCAGTCTGAGTACCTTGAGTCTATCCAATTTCGCAAGACGGAACCACCAAGCGAGGGAACATCCAACGAGATGCAAACTGCGGAGATTGGGACAGCAACTTGTAAGGAGGTACAAGTGGGACGCCCACGGGTTTAAAAGGCCCCGACTGGGAGATTGCGGGTCGGTGGTACCCGTGAAGCAGAGGTCACGAACAGTGTGGGTGTATGAAGGCCTTGGAGGTGTCCGAAAAAATGACGGAAAATGGTGCGTGGTCATGATGGGGGACGTGTGCAATAAAAGCGACGCTGTGGTGCGGGTCAACAATGTTGCAATGTCGAGTGTGCAATATATCGCAATCACAACTGAATATAAACAAAAAAGGTTAGCGTTGGCAATCTCGCTCTCCAACAAATGCAAACGTGTCTCACCTAAAAATGGAACAGTATAGAACAAAACCATGAACCAAGCCAAGACGACTGCATACCCAACTCCCAAAAGACATCTCGCTTCTGGCACCAATCTTAAAAAATGTCGGCCAAACAAAATCATCGTTGCCGTTCTATAAAACAGCGGCATCCGGCCACCGTATGCCAAGAACGTATGTAGGTTCGCAAGCGACGTAATTTCATGGCGACGGCGAGCAATAGCCGCCTGAGCTATCCGGGACAAAAAAGGTGACGGTGTTTGAAGGAGGTGGGCGAGGTCTTGAGGTGGGAGGTACGACGCAATCTATCATATTTTCACCACGTTCAGCCCCAAAACTGTGCATTGCAAAAGTTACTTGAACCAACGCCGAATTACCTGATGTAAAACCTCGGGAGGTAAATCCACCAACTTTGCATGAGGTACCAACTTCTGTTTCTTTTCCCTCCTTCCCCACACTCTACTCAAAATGCTCTTCTTTTTGACATGTCGTCGTCGGTGCTTGACAATTTCACCTTCGTAAAATTGCCACATGCGACTAAGCGCAATCCAACTCTTGACCCATTGTCTAAATTCACCGGGTGTGCGAATATGTGGCGGGGGGAGCGTACTTGTCAATTCTGATGAATCCACTGAACGAGGGTCAACGTCAGTCCCTTCAGTCGGTGAAAGGACGCGGAGTTTCATTGTGGCGGATAAATGATTGCTTGTTCAAATGTCTTCCGGAATCAGTGAGAAAGGATGAGGTACTGAGATAGGTATAAAGGAGGTTGAAATGTACTTGAAAGCAAAACCAAGACGAAACGACATTGTCAATGGAAGAAAGCTGGTGTTTAAAGGGGAGGCGGGGTCGCTTACCCTCGCACACTCTTTGAACACACCCGATGACAAAGTGTGGTTTGTGTGCGGGTCAGTTGATGCAATGAGTGTTGCTAACATTAAACGCGTTTGTGGCACAGCAAGGTTTAGCCACTTGTCTCTTCGTCATTCTTCTTCTTCTTCTTTCTCCGCTTCCTTTTGCTTGGTCTTTCTCTCGTCATTCTTTTCTTTTTTTATTTCTTGATCGCAGAACATTGATGACAGCAATGGCATATGCAAGGAAAGAAAGACATAAGGATACTGGTACTAGTACTGGACCTTTACAATTACAACGGTATCGACAAGAAAATATCCCCTCCCAACCACCTCATCCAAACCAACAAAATAAACTGCGCACTACTTTTGTACATAAAAAGTCTTTACAGCGGCACAATCCACTCCTTGCCTCTAGACGGCTTGGAGAGCCAGTTCCTCATCTGGTTAACAGCCCAATGAACATTGTTGAGCGTTCCGTAAACTGCCATGAACCTAATATGGGTGCTTTGCTCGTCTCGCGGCATCATGTGCAGAATCCTGTTGCGTTGCTCTTCGGTACACTTGTGGTTGATAAAGAAAAAGTATTCTTCTGGCTCAGCGCTAAAGATCACATTGGTAGACGTTGAGGCCATGACGTTGGGTAAAATGCTGGCGATGAGAAGACCGCATCCGTGATGGTTGATGGCAAACAAGTGGCCAGTTCTGAAAAATCAATCCAAAGTTAGTAAGGTAATCTAGCTTTGAAAATGTTTGAATTGAACGTACGTTTCGTTGCTCATGGTGGTTACCCTGGCCTGAACATCCGCAAGGTTGGTGTTCAGGGTCATCAGGACATTTCCAAAGTTTTGGTGCTCGCGTTGTGCGATTTCCTATGATGGCGCAAGATGTTAGAAAACATAATCCATAATCAAACAGCATTGCCCCAAAACAGATACTATACCTGTATAGTCGTAAGCTGGTTTTGGGTGGTGTGCTAACAAAAAAACCAAATCGTCATCAGTAAGAACACATTATCGAAGAGGGATACCGCGAGCTAGCTCGTACCTGCATCCAACCGATCTGGTTGCGGATTTCCCCCATGCTTGCACTCATTTGATCCACCGTTTCATTTAACCTCTCATGGGTACGAACCCACTGCCTCTCTGCATTGTTCAGTCTCTGCAAGCGAAGAGCGATGAATGATATCTTGGTGGCTTTATGCAACTGAGATACACGAAACTCACCTCATTGATCTGTTCATTTTGGGCGTTCAAAGCCGTAACCTGCCGGCTCTGATCTGTCAAACTTTCAGTGTTTGCGACGACCTGATAGAGCACAACAGATTAAGAAACAAGTTGAACCATGACAAAGATTATGGCTGGCAAAGATACCTGGGCTTCCAAATGTTCAACACGGGCCGCCAAGTCGACGATAGAGTCTTCATGTCGGGTGAAATTTTCCGCGCTCAGCTTTGAAAGCGTCTTGATATGAGTCGTGACCTTTTAAAATGAAATAGTTTAACACAATAGTGAATATCAGATATGCATGACTTGAGTGTACATCAAAGAGGATGGCCACAACGTCGCGGGGAGCAGGTGCCGCGTCGTCTTCAGTGTCATCGTCGTCCTCCTCATCCTCGGAGACAGATGCGCTAGAACCAGCTTTAGGACACCTGCAAACATGTCAGAAAGTGAGACACAAAAGATTGCACCCCTGGACAAAGCGAAACATCAACCTACTTCATGCTACGTATCATTGCATTAGCGATGGATTCTTTGAGTTGCCGAGTCTTGCTCCGGGTATAGCCCTTGGTTTTGACGCCCCAGTACGCGGCGAGTGCTCGTAATTCGGTAGCGGTGAGGTCGTCGTCGCCGAGAAGTTCGGAAAGTGTGACCTCCTCAGGATGAAAGGTGATGCATTCCTTCTAAGAAAAAAAAAAATCCAAAAATCAGCAACAGGACAAACGGGTTTGCTTGAACAACAACTGGATATACAAAACATACCTTAATTTTCTTCATTGTAGCAATGGCATCTTCGGCGTCGGGTGAGGCTGCCCTCTTCTTTCCTTTCCTGTCGACAGTCATGATTGAACCAAAGAATGAAATGAAGCGAGAAGCGAGGGATGGAATGCAAGCGACGAGCGAACGAATGCGGTAACACGGATGAATGAATAAGGCCACACGAAAAAAAGTAACGAATGTAGGGAAAACGAAATAATAGCACACGCAAGCGAACGAATGAAAAAAAAAACACTAAAACTCTACAAAGAAACGAACGAACGAACGAACAAAAACCCGAACGAACGAACAAATGCACGAATGAACGAAACGCCCAACCCAACGACACAAAAGCAGAAATGCAATGAAAAAATAACGAAACGATGGTAGAAGAAAGCTGGGGGGGAGAGAAAACCGATGCGCCTTTTATATGTGGCCCGCCTAGATCCCCCTGCGTGGGACTGCAAGAGACATTTTCGGACTCGGTCCCCCAACGCGAAAGATAGTACTTTCTCCAATGCCACCACATTCACTAATCATGTCCTGAAATCAACCATACATCTTGCACACCTTTACAGTCCGGATATCGGACAGAAACAGTAACACGCTTTCCGTAATGTGGGGCACAGTTCAACACTTTTGATTTCCCTCCCAAAAAAAATAAAACCCTTGTGAGCTTTTCTTCCTGGGGTTAATTTGGGCAAGAATTTAGGGATGTGGAGAAGTTACTTTGTCCCATATCCCACACGTGTAAGAAACCCGAGAAACTACACTTTTTTTGTTGCAACCCATCTGGGCCGTACTTATAGCGTTACTTTTGCAACATGCTTTCATCCATCGTCATTCCGACTTTGCCGTGTTTCATCTTTTCAGGTTTTTGCCATCATTTCATATTCCCTGGGGTTTGTTTTTTGCCTACTCTGGAAATCGAGAGATCCTGGGAGGGGGGTGTGAGTGAGCACGCGTATACAAAGGCTCGGCTGATGGACGTTTGACCCTGGGTATTCTCCCCATGATATTTTGAACATGATATACAATCTCTTGTCGAGTGTATGTAGACTCATGAACGATACATGTGTGTTATTATGAAACCGTGAATTCCCAATATCGCTACTTTTCTTTTCCTATGCTTTATGGTGAGTTCGATGCAAGTCCAAATGTCACTTAATTCGCCGGATGTGCCATTATTTTTCTTGCATTTTTGTCCTTTTGTCTTGTTCTCTTATTTTGGTTTCTTGCTGTACAGTATATTTACCCCTTTTCGGTGGACCTACGCAGGTTTTTCCATTTGCGGCTCAATGACGTCCCTTGTTCAGAGACATTGTTGTTCAACACTCGTCATTCAGTCGTTTCTTTTTGCAAGGATAGGAATTATGGTTTCTGATAATTTCATACAGAAATCTAATCATGCACCTCGATAAAATCTGTAAAAAACTTTGCCCCCTCCTGCCTTGTAGATGCAAAGATTTATTGTTTTCGCTGCACGGTGCTTGGGTAGAAGCTCTTTGAGATCCTACCTATTACATGTAGCAGCCAACTGTGGACTCTGGCACTGGTTTTTGGTTCTCGTTTTGTGATAGCTTTAATCGGAGAAGCAAGCGAGATACCAATCTCCGGGATCAAAAAGTTTCTGTAATAGCAAAAGAGGAGAACCAAGGCAATCATTACTAGGAGCTTGCTTGTGTCATAAAGGAAGAGAAATGTCGATGTAGCGTTGTCAAGCCCAAATCCAATCGATGAAATGTAATTATTCAAGTCTTCAATTTCCGTTCTGCGGGACCACGTTGGTCTTCACTTCAACTATCTAAACTGTGATTGGGACAAAGAGGCATTGGATACTAACATCCGGTCGAAGCATTGTATGAATATTCACGATTTTCTGTTGGTGATCGTAATCTAGCATTTGAGATTCATGATATCCCATAGCCGACACACTTTATGATCGCCAGTTGCATGTATGTTACCAACCAAATGCAAACCTGCGATGATGACTCCTTGTTCCGGTATCGGTGCTGGTTTTAGTTTTGCGATTCGCGATACTTACAGCCCAACGCAATTGCATGGTCAGTAATGATCCAGCATGGACTTTTACTGCCAGCCGTTGATATCCTGATTATCTGATAACCCCAGTATCAGCTAGCAGCTTCTCTTATACTTTTCTATATCGGTTTGTCCTGTTACTTTTCAGTATCATTGAAATGCAATTGATGCAAAAACAAAAGTCGACTCGTGCGGGGTTGAATGAGAGTTTTTTACTTCAGCATCGCGTAATCATTGTGCTCGTGATTTTTCAAGTTGCTCCTCCAAGTATTGCTCAGCACTTGTAATGTAAGTACACTAAGGCATATGTTGCATATGCAAACTCTGGCAAATGTTCTTGTAGCCTACAATGAAAGTAGCCAATATTTTTTATAATTAATCGGGAGCCACACCATGATAATTATGTACGGCGGAAGTTATAAAGTGCACTATCGAATCAAGCCGCCTAAAGTTATACTTTTTTGAATGCATAGTGTTACCCAATACAAATTGTCACCAGTTACTGTAAGCTTGAGTTTCCTGGATCTGCTAAGCATCAGCCCAACGCTGCGAATGCACGGTTGCTTGGTATAGCAGTAAAGACTGGGCAAATTGCATTTAGTGCAATGCCATAACTTTGACTGAACTGAACGAATGTTAAACAGTGACGGAGAGTAACCGAAAATCATAATTGACAGTATTTTTGTGCGTACGTATTCCGGTCAAAGCTAGGACATGGCGGCAAATATGGCACAGATAATGACATGAGTCTCCGCTGAGGGAAAATCACTGGACAGGAGGCTTCAGCAATCAGGCTTCGACTGATTGCGTATTTTGACAATTAGCGAACCTCGTTTTTACTATGCAGCATCTCCGCCGGTCAAACGGGGGAAAAGTCAAGCCATGTGGAGCTCCGCTCTCTCAGGGCCCACGTCCGGCGGAGTACTTTTGCAAGTAACTGGGGGCATTTTGTGATGGCAATGACTTCACACTGCATGGCTTAGTCGCGCGATTGTCCCGCGATCTCTTCGCTTTTTTAAACATTTCAACCTTTAATGAGTGTGCTGATATTGTCTTGTTGATTTTTTGAAGCAAGTTACGTAGGTTATTGCCGGCATTTTTACCCTTGGTGCCGGATAGTTGGGTTATGCCTTTATGTCATGCCACAAATTGTTCGTGTTGGTCGGACCTTTTGTTTTTTGTCCTTTGCAATTGCACCCACGTTCTCCCACCTCCTGTACTGTTCGTCATAATGGAAAAGCTCCGGATTGCACATCATGCCAAAAGCCTAGCGCCCATGTCAACTTTACACACCTCCGTCTCCTGGCTAGGCATCGGTTGTTACATGACTGTGCCATGTTAACGTCATTTCGTCCACGTTTTCCCTTGCACACCTTTTGGCAGCATCTCCATCCTGGATTTTCTTTTTTTTTTGCATCTAAACCACTGAGCGTAGGAGCGGATAAAATGGAAAAGACGCCTTGGGAAAAGGGGAAATGACTTTGGCATGGATGTCCATCTCCGCGCGATGTGTGGGGAACAAATTGATGCGTAAGAGGGCACATGGTGGGCTTTGAATACGGGGGAAGAAGGGGAATTCCCTCGTTAAATTTGTAACCCTTCCTATGTAAAAGGCTTTATAAAAGGCAGTGCCGTGTCGATTTTCCGTACAAGTATTGTCGCTCCCCAACTGGTCGGTTGGACCATCCTCACCCTGTGTTCCTTACCTGTCATCAATTCTTTTCTAAATTCGTGATTATGGCACGTATTCGCATCAATACGTTAACGTCGGCATTGGCGATATGGCTACTAGCCTGCATCCTCTCTGTCTCTGCCACTGACAAAAACGCCAAGGATGCGCAACTCGAGTCATTCACTCGGGATGATGAGGGGAAACCATTGACCACCGACTTTGGGGTTAAAATAAATGATACAGATAATACGCTCAAGGCTGGCATTCGAGGTCCTAGCTTGTTAGAGGATTTCCATTTCAGGGAAAAGATTACCAGGTTTGATCACGAGAGGATACCCGAGCGAGTTGGTGAGTGAATGTACTATAGAACTGCCGTTACTCCAAATAATAACAGGAAATGCCTAACGCCAATCGTTTTGTTAGTACATGCTCGCGGTCATGGAGCCCACGGATTTTTTGAAAGCTACTACGATCTTTCCTCTATCACTCGCGCAAAGTTCCTTTCCGCTGCAGGGAAGAAGACGCCGGTCTTTGTTCGTTTCTCTACTGTCTTGGGTAGCCGAGGATCCGCGGACACGGTGCGCGATGTGCGTGGGTTTGCAACAAAATTCTATACTGAGGAGGGAGTGTAAGAAACATGCGCTTGACTTGAAATCATATAATCTTTGATGTTAACGATCTTAAAACTAGATTTGACATTGTCGGAAACGATATCCCAGTTTTCTTTGTGCAAGATGCTATCAAGTTCCTTGACTTGATCCACGCAGCCAAGCCCGAACAAGACAATGAAATCCCTCAAGCAGCAACTGCACATGGTGCGTGTCCGGACACCACGCACTTGAGAAGACTGGCTCATCCTAACTATCGTTTTTATATAGACAACTTTTACGACTTTGTTACCCTCACACCAGAGACTCTTCATACGGTGCTCTGGGCTCTAAGCCCTCGAGGTATTGTAAGGAGCAACCGCGAAATGCAAGGATTCGGAGTCCACACGTTCCGTTTTGTCAACAAAGAGGGCATGTCTCGGTTTGTAAAGTTCCACTGGCGTCCCGTAAATGGAGTAACGGCACTCGTTTGGGACGAGGCGCAAAAGCTTGCTGGCAAGAACCCTGACTGGTTGCGTCAAGATGTATGGGAGGCCATCGAGCGGGGAGACTTTCCAGAATACGAATTTGGAATCCAGGTTGTCGAAGAGGAGGACGAGTTTAAGTTCGACTTTGATCTGCTCGATCCTACCAAGATCATCCCCGAAAGCGAGGTGGAAGTCAAGTGGATCGGAAAGATGACGCTCAACAGAAACCCCGACAATTTCTTTTCCGAGACCGAGCAAGTCGCCTTTTGCACGTCTCACATTGTTCCTGGCATTGATTTTACCAATGATCCGTTATTGCAAGGACGGACATTCTCCTACTTTGGTAATTATGGATCGCTTGCGCTTATGTGTTGGAAGGAGCATGACACTTATTGTTCTTCCGATTTAAGACACACAACTTAACCGCTTCCAGTCCCCGAACTGGGAATATCTTCCCATCAATCGCCCCATCAACCCTGTACATAACAAGTACGTTTTCCAAAATGGGAGTACTCAACGTGAACAGATCACTAATACATCCTATTCTGTGTGTAGTCAGCGCGACGGTTTCATGCAATTCAACATCTTTAAGGGTCCCGCCGCTTACTACCCCCACACTCGATACGGTTCTGCGGACCCTGTTCCTCCATCAGAAGGGTCCTTTGTCAGTTACCATGAGAAGATTGATGGCTACAAGATTCGTGCACGATCACCGACATTTTTTGACTGTAAGTTCCTCTCTGGAATTGCACGAAAAACACACCGCATCCTTTCCCCTAACCAAATTTTGATGATAATAGATGTTAGTCAGTCTCAACTGTTCTACAACTCGCTTGCTCCCTGGGAGCGCAAGCAGTTGATTGAGGGTTCAGTATTTGAGATCACCAAAGTCAAGAGCAAGGATATCCGTCAGCGATGGGTGGACTTGATTAACCAGGTCGACCACGAATTCGCCACCATTGTCGCAAAAAATGCGGCTGTGGACGTCCCATCCAAGACATACCCCAATAATGGCAAGAAATCCAAAGGAATCAGTATCGATGACTACCCTCTCAAGAGCATTCGATCTAAAAAAGTGGCCATTTTGGCATGCAAGGACGTGGCTGCTGACCAACTGAAGAGTGTTAAAGGTTTCTTGGAAGGCCAAGGAGCCGTGGTTGATGTCGTGTCTTTTAAATTGGGCAAGATCGAGGGAACGGACATTGAAGCTACTCAGACGTTTGCCACAGCCGATTCAGTCTTTTACGACGCAACCTTCGTCCCTGGGGGAAAATCTGCTGATTACCTCCGTCAAAACTTTTGGGACTTTGAGGATACTTGGGTAGGTCCTTTTACTGTTCTTGAAGTACGCAAATGGGAATGTATAATGATGTACCAATTGATTAGGCCTTTGTCCGAGACACGTATCGCCACGCCAAGCCTCTCGCTGCTCTCGGCGAATCCGTGTCATTCGTTGAAAATGCCATTAAACCCGCAAAGCTTGAAGGCAAACAAGCGGCAGGTGTCCTCACTGGTGGCAATGATGTTAACAAGGACGGCTTTGCTCACGGAATCGAACAAGCTATTCTAAAGAAACGCTTCTTTGAGCGATTTGATTGAGTTGTTAGCATGGAATACTTGTTGCTTGTTGTATAATGGTCTTGGATTAGTGGATGTAAAATAGCGATGGAATACACGCCCGTTACAAACATGTGGTGAACGGTGGTTGACGCGACGCGTTCCTTGATTACGCGATGATCAGATTCCCGTCTAGAATGACTGTAAACACTTTTTCCAGTTCACCAAGAATTTCCTACCGTTTTTTTTCTTTTTTGTCAATGTCAGAATCCACATCGAATTGGGCTGCACACACAAATCGCCCACTCGCCCATGACCATGGGGGTGGTACTACCAGCCCACCTCAAAGTGGTCTCAACACACCCTCCCTTCGCAGTGGCGCACGGACGCCGGATCCGCTGCTCTCTGCGCTTCGTAGCGCCAATGGTTCCTTCCTCTCCAGCGCCCAACAGACTCCTGGATCAATGACACCCCGCACGCGGCAAAGATATGACCTAAAACGCGCGGCATTAATCCAAGACCTTGAGTCCCACGACCAAAAAATGGAATCCCGCGCTCTCGATCGCCGCTTGCGGCACGAGCTTTTTATGGACAAGCTCCGTAAAGACGAAGAACGCTTTGAGCGGATTCGAGCACGAAGGCTGTTGGCTGACTCAGAGCGACGCAAACGGGAAGAACAAGAGTTTGCCAACCGAGAACGGGAGGTGGAGAATGTTCGGATTGCTTCGAGGACGTCCTCTGCGGCGGCTTTGTCTCCACAGGCTAGCTTGGAGAGTTTGTCGGCATCTAATACCTCTTTAGCGAGGAGTATGGAGAGGTTGGATCAGAATGGGCCCCGGGGAAGTGTCACTGGCGAGGTAGGGCATACACGTTATTACATTGCAAAATTCTTGTTTGTCCGTGATCCATCAACATTTTCGATGTTATTTAGGCCAAAGCTTCCGTCCAAGCCGCCAACGATCTACAATCCTTTCAAAACGAACGTCGTCTCAAGAAGCTTGCCAGACAGAAAGCCGAGGAGGAGCGCAAGCGATTGCAAAGCGTAGTACGCAAGCGGGCTGAGGAAAGTATTGAAAACGAGTTTGGAGAGGCTGGGGAGGACAATGGAGACGTCGGACGTCTCAGTGTAGGTGTGCGAGCGGAATCAACTACAGTTAGCGACGCGGGCAAAGTCATTTCTAAAGAAGGCGTAAGGGCGGGCGAAGACCGAGGGACACCAACTGGGCGAGTACAGGACCGGAGAGATGTTGGGCGCGAAAAAGATAGCCAGGAATTAAAACGGGAGAACATCAAAAGAGATTATCCCGAGCAGACAGAAGTCAGGCGATATCAGCGTGGGGAGGTTAATCGTGATATGACTCGTGAAAGCTTTGACTCCGAACGCCGTGACCGCGGGGCCACGATAGGGCTTGTAACCAAGCCTGAGGAAGTCCAACGACACACCCCCCACGAGGACACTCCATCAAAACGCCGTGAAGTTGATAGCGTGGGACATAAAGAAAGTAGACATGCGGTTGACAATATCCGACGGAATCAAGTTCGTGAAGATGCGGATTCTCTCCGACGTGAGCGAACGGATATACGCCCGGCAACCGATCGCGGAGGCCTCCAGCCCATACACCGGAACAATGACGAATCCGCAAGAGATGATGTTAAACCCTCACAACAGCGGACTAGCGATCAGCTCGCAGATGTTGGATTGAGAGAGGAAGAGCTGGATGCTAAATATTCCAGATCCAACAATCGCGATATACAGGAGGATGCAGATGTTCATCGAGAAGAGGGAAAATCTCTCAGCATTGAAGAAAAACGAGAAGAGAGTGGAAGGGAAGCAGCGGCTGTGGCCGTAGTTGAGGTGGTCCAGATTGAGACTGCACTTTGTGAAGTCTTAACAGATGAAGCGGTCAGGAGTACATCAAAGCCAATAGACGTCCAGTCTGAAGATGCTGGAGTTGCGCTACCCCCAGATCTGGACACTGCGGATAACGCACCTACATTTTCCGATGCGAACAATTTAGAGGGTGCGCCTGATGAACTGTCAAGTGAATTTGCTTCTGTTCCAACTAGAAACCAGAGAGATGTAGAAGAAGCTGTACAGGTCGGAGACAAGGATGAGCAATTTTCAGGGCGAAGTGTAGATGAGGATATACTGGGCGTTCAAAATCCGGAAGCTGATCGACAGCGGGCGAAAACAGGCTCTGGTTTATACGACGAGCAATCAGAAGAAGCAGCGGTGGCTGTTGCAGAGCCATCGGCGATTGAGCGTACTTCGGGCGGAGAAAACATTTCGACACCCAAAGATGCCGATTATTCTAACGTACCTACATCTCTGGTCATCGAATCTGTGGCTGAAACCGTCCAAATTACAGGAGACAACAAAGATGCACCTGTGCCGATATCTCTGAGCAATGAAAATGACAACTCTTTGGACGCTGCGGTGAAAGACAGTGAAACGGGCACGCAAGAAGCAAAGAAAGAGGAAGTCGGAAATGGGAACAGGCAGCAAGTATTACATGAATCAGTGGCGCAAGCTGATATGCAGTACGACACTGAGAATGCATCGGCACAGGAGAACATCCCCATATCTAGGAGGTTTTCGGAGGCAAAGCAGCCGCAGGTAGAAGCGGCTCATTATTGTTGATGTTGCGAGACGACTAACTTAGCCTTGCAGATCAAAGCAAACCTTCGGATTAAGGTACCTCACCGACGCACGCCCAGCATCGACCACCTTCGTCACAAGGCAGAATCAGCCCGTCGCTTAGCCAGCCCGACCGACGACGTCACGTCTCCAACAGATCAACCGCCAAGCTCTTCGAATTCACCTACCGGCTCTACTTTCCCTCGATTGTCCATTACATCCATGACACCCACGACCGCCATCAACCTCAGTCCGGATGACGTGACTGGTCCGCCTCGGTCGCGGACTCCGTCTGTTCGGGAGCGAATACAGGCACTGACTTCATCCGCGGCGCCGCCTGCGCCAAAAGTATCTGTACCTGCTCCCACCCAAACACGAAACCTCACCCCAACCTTCAGCCCCTCGCTCACCCCCGCCAGAACTCCGACGACACCAACACGTACTCGCCAATCCAGCACAGCCTCCCAAACAGCTATGAAGAGACCGGTTCAGACAGAACTATACCTAGTAAAAGGCAAAAGGAAGATGTACCTTACCCGTGTCCCGATTGAAGTGGAGACGTTAAACCATGGGGATGTCTTTGTCCTTGTTGTTCCTAAAGTGGACGACGGTGAAGCTCACAGTGCCACGATTTTGGTATGGTCAGGCAAGGATGCAGGAAAGGTCAAGAGGGCAAAGGGAAAAGAGATTGGGATGAGAATGAAAGATAAAGAATGGGGAACACACGCTGTCGTTAGTGTTCTTGGTATGTGTGCTTGTCGTATGGCGTCGGCAGCTGTTGTCCTTAAATCTTCTGACTTTGGCGGGTATTGTATTGTTTGGCTGTAGAGGACGGAGTAGATTCACCTGATGCAGAGATGTTTTGGAAAGTTTTAACTAACGGAGCGCGTACCACACCAGTCGATAACATCAAAGCCGCCGAAGAGGGGGGCGATGATGTGGAGCACGAGAAGAAAATTGAACGGCATATGTACCTCTATGGGTAAGTTGTTCTCAGAAGTACAGATGTCCATGGGTTTTATTAACCGCCCTTGCTTCCACTGAAGGGTCAATAAAAATACGTCCTCGGTAACATCGATCACACCACCCGGTAAGCCCCTCTCATCCAAGATCCTGCAGAAAGGCACAACCTACATCCTCGACTGCTACACCGAAGTTTATATCTTGAGCGGACGGAACGCATCCGACGCGGAAAGAACGCTCGCGTTGAATTTCACAGAAGACCTGTCCATTAACCAGGACCGGCCCTTCACGGCTACGACGTACTTTGAGCGAGAGGGGTTTGAGAGCGTAGCGTTTCGAGAGAGGTTCTATGATTGGCCTGAGGAGAGTGGAATTGAGGTTAGGAAATTGACCAATGTAGTTGCTAAGGATAAAACATGGGGTGTTTACGATCGGGGTGGGGGTAAGAAGATCTTTCATGATACGTCGCAAGTTGAGCGACCCAACTAATGGTTCGTGTCCTAGTGGATGTCAAGAAAGTTGAAAAGATCAACGTACAGAATATGTTCATACCACCTCCACCCCCGGCCAGTTGGGGTACGCCAAATGGCCAAGAGGAAGAAGACATTGGTGGTCCGCCAGCTCCTGAGATGGATCGTGGATGTTTGGAATTGAAGGTGAACATCTTCATCACCATGTAGTCTCAGTGTACTTGTTTCATGGTTTTGATTCACTCCCTTCCTCTGCAAAGGTTTGGCTGGCCCAACCGCACGAAACTGACAGCAAAGTCGAAATAGCACCCTCGGAACACGGCATCTTTTACGCCGAAGAAAGTTATCTGATTCTCTACCGACATTTGACGGGCCGAGACGGGAATGAAAAGGAGGCTGCCATAGCATACTTTTGGATTGGATCCGAATGCAAGAGTGTATGCATCCTCCTTTCACCCCACTCGCGTAGTTTGCTCCAGATGCTCACGCTCTATATTATAGACGGACCAAGCTGCGGCTGCCTATCTGGCAACCGATCTTGAAAAGCAACATAAAGCCCGTCAGATCCGTGTCACGCAGGGTAAAGAGCCATCACATTTCCTGGGCATTTTCAAGCATCCTGTTATTGTCCGCCGAGGAACTAGAGCGGAGTTTGGGACGAGTGAAAAGGCGTTGTATCATGTCATGGGTTTTGAGAAGGGGCTGGTACGAGTCATTGAGGCTGTTTGGGTGAGTAATAGAAGGTTGGATATTACTTGCGTCTAATCTCACATTGAACCAATTTATATCGCGTTGCATTTCAGAATCCCTCCTCCCTATCCTCCGCGAATAGTTTCGTTCTTAACCTGAAAGACAAAGTATTTATCTGGCATGGCACAGGTAGTTTCCCGTTCGAACGCGATATGGCGGAGCGCGTTGCCCAACGGATATGTGTAAGTCCCCCTATCGTCCTTTATCATCCAATCTTCTTTCTTTTAATTCGTCCCTTGCAGGACTCGAAACCCATTACGACATTGGAAGAACTACAAGAACCCAAAGTGTTCTGGCAAAAGCTTGGGGGAATTGATAAAAAGTCCCATAACCATCAGCAGGATTATGCTTCGATGCCATATTTGGCCAAGAAGAAGGAGCTGGAGGGATCTTACACGTGTCGCCTCTTTAGAGTATCGCATATTGTTCATGGAAATCCAACAGTATGTGCATCTTCTGGTCTTGGGAAGAAGATGGCGTCACATTCCAGCATTTCACTGACAGGGTCGTTTGGTTCACTTAGGCTGAAGAGATCGACCCTTTCGTACAATCCGACTTGGAAAACACCGGTGTATATATTCTCGATGCCTTTTTTGAGATTTACATCTGGGTGGGCGCAGATGCGAAATCCAATTACAGGGACGTCCGATTAGCCTTAGAGACTGGCTTGGTGAGTAACAGCACTCCTTCTCCATCAGCGAACAACGTGATGACCGTCCATGTCACGACAGGATTACGCAGATTACGTCTCAGCGCGCCAGCAAATGCGGAACTTGGATCGGACAAAAGTTCGATTCGTTCGGTCTGGTTCCGAACCAGCTGGCTTTAAGGCGGCGTTCCTTGCTTTCGAGGATGGAAGCGAAGATATTGCTGGATCTACTGGATTTGTGAGTTTTGGATTCCCACGTTGTTAAACTGGTGGTGCTGATAAACTAATGAGCGCTCTGTCTGTAGTTGAATAAACTAAAATCTAAAACTGGAAGAAAGAAGCGTGAACCTCAGGAAGAATCTGCCATTGATATTCTTGAAAAGGTACCCTCGTCAGCTGCCACTCTCCGGATGGAAAATTACAAAAACTAAAAACATCACGCAGTTCAACAAGGCTGTTTACAGTTTCGACGAATTAAAGAAAAAGGATGATCTGCCTTTAGGTGTTGATCCCGCTCACGTTGAGATATATCTTTCCCAACCCGATTTCCAGAAGCATTTCAAGATTGATAAAGTGACATTTTCATCCTACCCTGCTTGGAAGCAAGCAGAAATGAAAAAAAGAGGTAGCGTCATTGTTAGAGTGGCATTACTGGTTGATTAGTACTCACAATTATTGCGCTCGGATTGTAGCTGGTCTTTTTTAAATGAACCGATGCTTTTACTATATGATGTGTTGTAATTTGGTAAATGTATTTGTAATAAACTACCTTTTTAAGAGCTTAGATCAAGCTACCACTTTCAATAGTTTGCCAATGCATTTAGTTTTAAGAATGTATTGCGTATATACAGATGTGAATGAGAGCAATGCGTTCATGGCACTAGAACGTCGCAATACCGGCAATCACCAAATAACATCCTCTTCCATTGCCAAGCTGTCTTGTCCACCGATAGCAGTCTCGATCTGCTTTTTGACAACGCCCCCAACAGCCTGCTCCACAATTTCAGCAAGCCCTTCCTGTCCCTTTCCTCCAATCTCCGCGAATACGTCTTCCAAACCTTCTGCCTCCATTATCACTTCCCAGAAACTCTTGGGGCGAGGATAAACTTTAAAGAGCACCACCGGCTTCTCGCCTTCCTTGTGCACAATCTTTTTGATCAATGACGTTTTGGCCTTTTCTTTTCTGTTCTGGAGAGATGTGTCGACTGCGACATCTATGGCATTCCAAATTCCCCCCAGCTGATCAACGAGACCCAATCCGAGAGCCTGAACACCTGTCCAGACCCGACCGCGTGCAGCATGTTCAACTTGGTCAAGGTTCAGCTGTCGGCCGTCCATGACACGTTTACGAAAGGTTTCATATAGGGCTGCTGTTTGACCATGATAGCGCCTTAGAGCGTTCCCTCGGAGATCGTGGAGAAGGGACTGAAATTGTGCGCCTTTGGTGGTGTAAATTTCGCCAAAGGTGACACCTATATTGTCTTGAAACTTGCGAGTTATGACAGGCCGAGCACTGGCGACGCCGATGGACCCGGTAATTGTGCCCGGATTAGCAATTATCTTCTGGCATGGAGCTGTGCAATAATATCCTGGGTTTGATGCAGTTGTGTGAATGGGTTCTGGCTACATAAACAAAGGAAGATGTATCTAATTCTCACCACCGGATGCAGCCATATTACCGTAACTGGCAATGACGGGTTTGCCAGAGACTTCTTGAGCATGTTTGACAGCCTCCCAGATTGTCTCGGTAGCCACTGCATCCCCTCCACCGGAATCTACAGTGGGCACAATGCCAGTCAAGAAGCATGGCCAATCCAGCAACGAGTAGCCAAAAGCAAATGATCTCAACTCACCAATCCTAAACAAAACCACATCAACATCCTTATCCGCAGCACACTCCCCGAGCGCCCTCGCGACCTCATTGCTACCAAATCTGCCGTCCCCTCTAATGATGGGTCCAACAAGGTATACCAACCCAACAGTAACCTTGTCATTTCCTGCCGCAATCTTGAGTGCATCCGTGACTTCTTCTTCTGCGGTACGGGCTACAAAGTACCGCGAGAGTGGCATCGATGGCTGCCCTTCTTGGGTTCGCCGGTGATGCTCTTTACGGTGGCCATGCGGGTAGGTGTGGTGCTTGTAGGTTAGCTTATCAATGAGGCCTGTCGTGAGGGATTCAGTTGAAGTTAGAGGAGCATTGTCCATCAAGGTTTGGACCTTTATTGGAATGTAAGTTGATGTTTCACCCAACAAAGTTGAAAGTAAATGCTGCCTTAGTTACCTTTTCGACGGCGCTCATATCCTTCTCTTCCTTCTCGGTCGGGACTCGCGATTCCTGTGTTTCCGCTTTTTGTTTCTCATCGCGACTAGGCTGCTGATCTTTTGCAACAGCTTGTTTGGTATCTTCATAGGCCTTCTGCGCCATATCCGCCGCCTTCTTGGTCTCCTTTGCCTGCTTTAAAACCCTCCCAACATCCTCGGGGACCGCCTTACCCTTTTCCGTGATGAGGACTTGTCCCCCTTCGTCACCTACAGCCTTAACTTTTTCAACAACTTTCTGGGGCCATCCCGTCTCGCTCTCGACATGCAGATCTTCCAAAATTTGTAGACCATCCACGTCCCCTTCCGCAAGAGAGAGAATCCGCACCTGGTCTTGAACCATTTCTACGACTTTCTCGGACGAGGCAGGGAGAAGATTTGAAATGCTCTTCACAACCTTTGCCCGGGCGTTTGCTATCCCGGTTATTAGCTGGTCATTGAGGGAAGCCAAAAGCTGCGCGAGGTTTTCCTTTTGGGGCTGTGGGAAATCCGTCGATGTAAACATTGAATGGACGGACTTGTATTCTCTATCAAAAAGGCGATGATTTGAAGTGTTGGTGCTGGTCTTTTGCGGTCAGAACATGTTCAGATCCAAATATACTGTACCCAACAGCAGACGCCCGCACAACAATTCCAAGTCTATCGAGCAATCGACGCAGGAACTAACATACATTGAAAAGCAACAGGAATATAAACAACCCTTGCGATTGAACTTGCAAGGTAGAGCCAAGATCTTACCGGTTGCGCCATACCGACTCCAAAAATCGGAAGACTTCCCACTGGTTCCATACAGACTTCATCAAATGCCGTAGCAAGATAATACAGCAACTGACTATCTGCGCTCGCATCCAAGGCATCAATAGCCTGGCCCGTCAACCATGGACTTTTGCGTATGAACCTACCGAACGTATCCGTACATGCAACAAGTTTATATCCGACCTGTCCAAACTTTTTTTGTTTGGCTTCCTTGAATTCGTTAATTGCATTCCGAAGCTCTTGGACTTGGGCAAAACCCAGTTGTGGCCGAGCTGTGCCTGGAACACCAGATGAACTTAAATCGACGACCAAACCTACATTTCCCAAGATTTCATTTGTCGATCAAGACGGTTTTTTAAAGAGGAGCTTGATTGGGTACCGACCTCTAACACGATCATCATCCTTGGCCCATTTCAAAATCCGTACAGCATCAAAAAGTGTCAAGCTACTTAGGGCCCCTCGCGAGAGAGCGCCAAGGAGCCCAGTACGTTGATTCTGGGCTTCCGTTATATATGTCTGGATTTTCAAGACTTTAGATGGTTCCCCAAAAAAAACCACCAGAGAAAGCATTTTAGCTACCCGATCAAGTTTCCATGTCAGGATTGTGTCTGGGTATATTTTCAGTGCCTAGGAACGACAACAACAGTTTATCCCAAAGAAATGAACTGGCACAACAATCTGCAAGCTATTGCTCTGCTCATACCTCCTTTGCTCTCTTCCTCTGCTCCCACCAAGACCAAAATGTGTATCCAATCACTCCAGCATACAAGATTCGCCGAGCAATCAAGCCCGTTCGCTGGAGGTTAGGCCAGACGACCGGTGGAGGTTGACGCGGTCCTTGAGGACGAGGAGGAGTGTCGGAAGGCGGTGTGTTGCTCGACATTGGTCAAATGGGTGCAATTAGCTTTCTTGGACAAAGGATGTATAAAACACTGGATGATGGCTAATAAATATGTGGCGAGCAAATCATAACGATTGCCCTAATTTGATCGAGTCACAATACTTTTACGAGAAACTCCAGCATCTTGCTATGCGAGAGCCCTTAATTGTCACGTCATTATGCTGACACGCTCCAGTTCTCTGGCGGTGAAAGCAGAAATATTTCCAGTCTTTTAACCATCTATGTTCATAAAACCAAACGTCCATCACAGTCCATGGGCCGCCTGTACCAACTTTGTACATGAAAGAAAGAAAGGACGAAAAGACAAAGAGAGCACACAGAAAGAGGAAAACCAAACTAAGGGTAAAAAGGATGGAGGAAAGGTGGAAAGGACAGACACTACTGGCAGAGAAAAATGTACGGAAGAAAAGCCATCAGAATTTAAGTCCATGGCATTCTGTCCCACTCCCTCCCAAACGAGGCTTTGCCCATCGATGGGGACCACCAGGACAGTCCTGTACCGTGAATCTCTAATCGTGACTTTCCCAACCAAATTTCGCTGTCTATGCTCTCTTAATCGCTGAGTGAAGGCCGCTGAATCGGCACCGGTTGGAATTGATCCAGATCAATTCCTCTAGCGCGCAATGCTGGCTCGGCGTGTGCAGGAACAAGAACCCGGTTCAAATCAGGTTGAATAGACAGTTCTACGTTACAGAAAAAAGTCAGAATAGTCCACCATTAATCCGACAAAGATAAAATTACCCAGAGTTGAGAAGTCAAACAACGGTGGGAAATCCTTTCCGTTCATCATTTTTGTTTCAGGGAGGCGTAACTCATCAAAGAAGTTGTGGGCCATGGCCTCGACGGCAGTTAATCGGTTGGGTGGTGTGTATTCGAGAAGCTTGCCAATGAGATCGAGGGATTCGGGGGTGGTGGGTTTGTTCTTAAACACCTGGATGACGGAAGTAGGATGAGTGCCGCCCACAACTGTCAACATACTATAAGACAAACCTTGGGCCATGTGGCAGCTTTGATTTGAGGGAATTTGTACTCTGTGTAGTTTCGGTTCATAGACTTTATTTGTTCCCGCGTTGGAGTGCCGAGAACTTTGATAATTTCAACCAATTGATCTACCCCGGATTCTCCCGGGAAAATAGGTTGGCCCAGCATGAGCTCAGCCATTACACATCCAGTCGACCATACATCTACAGAGACATGTATTCAGCCATATTATCTCAGATATGGGTCAGATGTATCCTGGAACTCACCAATGCTGACGTTGTAATCGGTACTTCCGAATATCAGCTCTGGGGCTCGGTAATATCGGGAACATATGTAGCTCACGTTGGGTTCATCCTTCACCAGAATCTTTGCACTCCCAAAGTCACAGAGCTTAAGAACACCAGTTGCGGGATCAAGCAGCTATACATCAACATAGTGACTGTTAGAGGATGTAACCTGCATTGTGTGGGTAATCGACTTACCAAGTTTTGTGGTTTAATATCACGGTGGCAGATGCCCAGTGCGTGGATGTAAGCAAGCGCTCTGAAGAGTTGATACATGTAAAGCTGACGACAGAGAAAATTAGCCACATCCTTGTTGACGCATGATGTAGACATGCAAGCATAAACAAACCTTGATAGAGAGCATCGGCATTGTTTGCTTGATCTTGGCGTAATGCCGTGAAGCCCTGTATATTGTTTCGGGTATATACTCTAGCGTAAGGTTAAGGAACAGCTCGTCCTTTTTCTCTCCGTTGGAGTAGAAGAACGCCTTCAGACTGCAGATATTGCGGTGGTCAACTAGTCGCATGATTTGCAATTCGCGGTTCTTGTAGCGAAAGGTGTTAGTTAAATTATGATTAGAGATATCCCTCGATATGAACACACCTTGAACCGCTTGTCCTGCAATACTTTCTTGATCGCGACAGGCTCTCCGTTTGGGAGAAGCTTTGCTTGGAAGACGACGCCAAATGATCCATTACCGATGACTTTGTAGTTGGTATATTGGAGATCTATCGGTTCGCCGGTCTTTCCATCGTTTGCGGGAACAATGTTCACCTTGGTCGAGTCTGGTTCACCTGAATTATCAGAGAGAAGGATATTGGTAAATGAAGTCGTCATAAATGAAATTCATAACAGCAACAGTAGACATTGCATCCACTGCTGTTGACTCCCAAGTGCTACTCACTGCTTAATCTCACACCATTAATTACGCTACTTCCTGTTCCTGCTTTGGCCGAGTTGTCCAAAAGAGGTTGTACAATATTTCTTTTCTTGGTCGACATTATCGTATAATAATGTTTGCAGAGAAACGTAAGGGGAAAACAACAGAGAAATAATTATTCACAGAAAAGGGGACGCCGTGGTGGAAAGTGGCAGCTGCTTGTCGAGACAGGGGACGAGATTTGTGGGTCAAGAATCCGCTAATGAGGATGCGCAGGAGGCCGAGTTGACAGCAGAGTCGGTGTGAGTCCCTGAAGTGGGGTTGAGGAAAGAAGAGGAGGGAGATGGAAGGGATGAGCAAACAGAGTGCATCTCTACATGTGCTGGTGCTCATAAGTGAGCTCTTTTACAAACGCCGAGGAGTGTCGTACACGTGTATCGTGTGCATGCAGGGGCAACAGCGATGACGACGATGTTGCGACAGTAAGAATGAACGGTCACTCACAGATGCTCTACACCTGCCCAGCTGCGAGCGATAGCTCGCTGCGCAGATGCACTGCAAGGCCACGTTTGTGGGAACACGTCCAACTGTCACACATCATAGCTTTGACTCACCTCGCTGAAAGAAGACAAGGTTGACTTCGTCCGTATGTTGCACGTCAAAGGTATTTGTGCGCACTAGAGCCAACACTTGGCAGGGAAGCGAGGCAGGTGGAAAAGGGACAGCAGGTCTCTTGCTGGTGTTGTAACGACGGACAAGGCGCTGACTTTGTTCGTGTGCGTTATGTAAACAGAGCAACTGGCCCGACCGGGGCGTAACGGGTGGAGATGATCCCCAAAGGCTGAATCGGTTGCGGGCCCCGATTCACTATGCAAATTCCACAGAGCGGTAGATGGGAGGAAAAAGATAGACTATACTATTATTGTTTGGCTTATTTGATTTGCTCCCTTTGTTGATGGAAAAACGCGTGTCCCTCAAAAACGACGTAACAGAGCAGAAGGCCGAAAGCAAAATACGCGGACTAGCAGCAGGAGCAAGAAGAGCCAACGACACAAAAAGACTGAGAGGTGCGAGATATGGCCCTTTTTGAGATCGATCAGGTCCTCGTATGGCAAAAAGGAATGGAAGTAATAGAAGCAGCCGTGCTTATTGAATCAAGCGATAAATAAGCGAGGAGAGAAAAAAGGGATATTTTCCAAACGTAATATCGAGAAGAAAGAAGCCAACGACGACGACGACGACAGCCAAAAAGTCAAAGACGTCAAAACGCATCTGCAAACAGAAGGAACCCAAAGAACACTTCGGAGGGAAACTTGTAAATTACTTCAAACCTCCCGCGTACTTGTGTTGGGTCATGGGATATAACCTTATCTGGTAACATTACAGTCACATGAATCAGAATTCATTAATTAAAGCGCCTAGACGCCCAATGGAACGTCATTTAATAGTGTGCAGGTGGTAGAAATTGTCACTAGAGACAAATTCTCCCTCCAGCCCACTACAGCCGGTTCTAATTTACAATTAGCCAGCCTGTCCAACCCTTCATAACCTATCCTGCAAACGAGTCCCACCCCTATCCTAACTCGCTACAGGTTCCAGCCTGGGTTGAACTGGGGTATGTGAAAAGCTAACTACTACTAGGCCCAATGACACATGCAATACATTACGGTTGTTCTAACCGGGTAACTAAGCCCACCACATGAGAGGAATCCTACTAAGCCCTTGATTCCGAAATTCTTTAGTCAGAGGATGTTCAGATACTAAGGTAGATCAGAATAATTAGACTGGGAATACACGTGGGAAAATACAAAGATAATGCATACCTGCGATCGTAGTAATATAGTAGTAGCAGCGTTTGCAAGGGGTTATGTTGTATTTGCCAGCAGGATTCTCATGATGGACTTGAGAGTTGAGCGTTGGCAGATGCTTGTGTTGTGAGTCGCGGATGGGTAAAGAGGAAAGAGGGAAGGCCCCCCTTTTATAGACCTTTGGCATGCACCACATCGCAGTTTAAAAAAAAAACATTACATGCATGCCACACCGCTTTAAGTGATAGATGGGGGCGCTGATTATGCGATATGATTAACCGGATTAATCCGGATAATAATGGGTCCTAGTGCCATTTTCAATCACCTCCACACTAAGAATAAGATGTTTATGTAATAGATTACATAATATCAAGTTCGACTCTCGCCGGTCACACTCCGGGGATCCCAGTTCACACTAGCGGTTTTTATTGCCCTGGTACGTGAGTCTACAGTCCTTGTGGCCTTTTTATTACACTGATTTGGCAGCAGGAGTAGCCCGTTATGGCATTAAGTTTACTCTGCACCGCTTTCTTTGGTATTTGCTGCCAAATCTTGTCAGCTTGTTTTCCCTCTTGCCACTTTACAGGGTGCCTGTTGCCAAATATCGATGGTTTGCCAGACTGCTTGTCTATACGAACTTCCGCACTGCTGCAAATTCAAGGTGTGCTCCCCATACCGTATCCATTGACGTATCTAAAGCACAAAGAGGCGGTACGGGGAGACAACGGCGGAGCACGCTGAAGGCGCACAGGATCGCACCGCAGCCATGCTCTTTCTACATATGCTCTTCATTGCATACCAAATCCATGAAGATGGTGGTGGTAGTACCGCTTTGGTAAAGTTCATTCATAAAGCCACATCACCTGCCCTTGTGCAAGTATCTGTGCACAAATTGTGCCTCTGTTGGAGGGCCGTCTCTCCCTGGCGGCAGCTATAGCTTCTATGAACAAAACGTGAGCTTTCCAAGCGTGACAGATTAGTGGTCACTGTGAGATAACTTTCTTCCAGTCCCTCAACCACCCGGTTGGGAAGCAAGCCTCGAGCTCGTGAAATCTCGTGCGGTCTACGCTTCCGTCGGTTCCTTCCGAGACCTTGGTTAAACGCCCTTTAATGGTAGGTGGCAGTTCATGAAATTGTTGCACAGCAGGGAGACAAAAACCAGACGGAACTTTGAACCCAGACAACTCAACCCAGAGGAGCATTGCCTTCGAAAACAACAAAGTAGTGATGTCGCCCATATTTCTTCCATGCTTGCATATGCTGTCAAAGTTAAAGATGTTGTCCAAAAAGTCTCTCGTATGAACACACAAGGTTGCAAACATCACCATAATGAGACAATGTCGATTGACATCAAAATAAGGCTTTTGCGACTAGCAGGGTAATGATTACGATATGGGTATTACAGCATCCCCTGACCTTATTGAAGGACCTCAGCCAAAGTCCAGAACGATGTCGACCAAGCAGGGTTTTCTTTTTCCTAGCCTGTGCCAAAGTCCCAGTTACTTGGTTTTCCAAGCCCATCTCGTCGTTGAAAGGGGACGAGAACAAAACGAGGTCGTTCGAAATGGGAAGCGCCCCTGCTTTTGGTTTGTCTCCCCCACCGCGACATGAAAAGGGCGTTCGTCATGTCGTTTTTGTTCGCTTGGCGAATTACGTGAAGTGTTTTGGTCCAGGAACAGTAAACAAAAGATACCCCCCTTCCACCGACACTCTGGGTTGTTGTTTCCTTTTTGTGTGCGCGGCCGAGTCATTTGAGACAGGGCTTTCAAAAACGATTTTCCTTTGGGATGATTTTTGTCTAGTTCCAAAACTCCCTAGAAAGACCAAGGGCTTTTTTGACTTGAAGCGTTTTGCTGTGAAAAGCCTCAAAGGAGAAAATAAGGGAATGGCAGGTTGGAAGCCCCTTTGACGCGAAAATATCACAGGCTTGTTTGTAAATCGTTGTCCCCGTAGCTAATCAGTAACAATAACTTGGTGAAAAGATGGGGGTCCCATTGGGGATAATCTTATGGTTATTGTATATCATCATTAGTTTACCCCCACTGGTTCCTCCAAGGGGAGGAAGGCTGCAAGCTCTGCCCATCCCGCAACCCCCAGGCTTTTTTACGGGGAGAGGGGGGCGACATCGAGCCGGAAGGTCTCACTTTGAGGTCGTTGGAATTTCACACTTGTACGGAAAAAAAAAAAGGCTGTCCCCCTCGTGGACTTGGGTCTCACTTTTTGCTATTCGCCTGCCGGTTCTCAGCAAAAAACAACACACTAGTCTTTGTTGTGTCTCCTGGGTTCCTGGTGAGGGTATAAAAAGGGCAATGCCTGAGCTTTGCACACGTTCTCTCCACATATTTCCAAACGTTTATCTTGTTATTACTCCACATTTTTTTTTTATTACGTCTTAGCTGCACTGCCCTCGCTTGCTCTTCCCGATCCTTCCAAGGCGTTAGTTTTTAATCGTCCATTTCCCAATCTCCTCTTTGCACATATCACTGTTACCCCACGTAGCCCAGCTTTCACTTTTGGCACGATACCCACTACTCTTGGTCGTGAGAGTCATCATCATCCCATTCTCGGGCCTTTTCGTATACGTTCTTGAACCCTGGAAGAGTAAAAACGTACACAACAAAAGAAGACTGTAGCGCATCATGTCGGCAGACCTACTTAACCACACCTCTGTGCTCTCGGACACCGCTGAAGCGATCGTGGCATCGGCAAATGCCTTGCAAACACCCGTGGACGAGACACAAAAGATTGAGTTCCCGCTCCAGTGTATCGACATCAAGGATGTGAACAGTGTGGAAGAGGGCATCACTGAAACGTTCCAGTTGCATTCGCCTATCAGTCCGGCGACAAGCGTGTCCTTACAGACATTTGGAACCGAATTGATGGCGACGACTGCGGGTCCGCCTATTACCGCTCTTTCAGGAGACTCTTCGCCGTCCGTATCAAGTCGAGGGTCTACGTCGTCTCCGCTTTCTCCGCCAGTTCGACACAGCGGAAGCTCCTTCACATACCCTCCCTTCGAGGGGCAATTCTGCATTCCCCCTCCTGTACATTCCGAGATTCCCACCTACGACGTTCGCAGACTGCCTACTCGGCAACTTCACTTTCGGTATACCCAAAATGAAATTGCTTGCGCGGCGGATTCGGGACTGGAACGGTACACTCCCCAACACTCTGCCCTTACATTGAACATTCCTGTTCAAGCGGTCAGTGGTCAGCTAGACAACTTGCCCGCTACTCCACCACCTAGTGAGACCTGCACTGCATCGCCAACCAACGGGACACCTTTCACATTCGGTGCACCACCCTGCTTTGAACCTGTACCGAACCTGGAGCAGTATCTAAAACAAGAAGACCAGGATTTGGGATCCCTTGGTTCCTCAGCAGGAGAGTCGTCCCCAATGATCCCCGAACCACGGATAAAAAGGCTTCGGAGCGCCTCGGATTCGTTCTTGCATTTTTCAATGGAGCCGGCAATGTTGATGGGCATGTCGCCTTCTCAAGCTGCGGATATTGCCAATGCATCCAGTATTGCTGCAGATATCCAACGACGAAGAGCAAAAAACACTGAGGTAAGACTGATGCTTTCTACAGGCGTTGGATATCTTGAATGTGTCTCTAATCCCTCATCCAGGCAGCCCGTCGTTCTCGACAAAAGAAGGCCTGCAAAATGCGTGCGCTCGAAGACAGATGCCACGAGCTCGAATCCCACGTCGTGGACCTTGAACGCCGCTACTCTGATCGGTGCCGTGAAAAAGAAGAATGTCTTGCCCGGGAATCACTTCTCCGTGACCGCATTTCGTCATTGGAGCAGATGTTGCAAGAGTCGCACAGTCTTGTTGTCAAGTGCTTTAATTGGAATGCTACGGAACAGTAGCGAGATATTTTTGGTCAATTTGCTTAAAGCCCGTACGTAGCGGTGACTACTTGCACGGATGCTGAGGATAGTAAGATTCTTATTCTACAAAAACTTCTTTGCGGGCAAGGATAAGTAGCAAAAACTGGCAAGCTTTCATACATTTAGCTCTGGTGTAAATGTGCCATTGACGGGATGTACATTGCTAGGCACTTTTCTTTTTTTTAATATTCAATAACATGAAGAAGTGACCTTTATGACCACCTTTGGTGAAATAGCACCAACGATCCATGAGAGTAATTATAAATCATCTTCCCATTCCTTGTCATATTCACATTTACATGGAAATTTACATTTAAGCCCGTTCACTTTTGCACCAGGAGCTATCAAGAGCATTGACCTTTTGCTCGATGGAAATGCTCCGTGGTTAGCGAAACGGCCAACTCTCCCCAATTGAGCGGGAATTCTGGTGAACCGTGGCGCCTGAATGCGGAGAGGGCTGAGTTGCAAGGAAATTGATACTGGCGTTATGCAGGTAAATGGGATCATTTAAACCCAGCTTTTGATCGAGAGGGTCAAAGGGAAACGTTTGCCCAGCTGGAAATCCTGGCGCGCAATGTGTTCCCCCTACACAATCTTACTAACACCCCAGGGTTAAGTGGTTAGCGCCCTGCTTTTAACGATAAGAAACAAACGGCCTTGCCGTGTCAAAAGGGTGAACAGGAGTCCTGTCCGTTCCAAGCGGCCGATCCTGCTGTGGGTTGATTCCCCCCCCCCCCCCCCCCCCAAAAACACACAGCTAAAAAACAGCAGTAGAAGAGATGGATAACGGGAAGATTCCAGTTCCTTCCGAACGGCTTTCCATTAACGCTGTGATGCCCAACGAATAAAATAAAATTTCCTACCATCTCTTCCCCACATCTGTGTTGCATAAAGAAAAAAGATGCTTTTGAATGATGAGATTTCTAGGGGCCTTTCCAACCTATCAGCTTGCATACGCGTCACTAGCATTACTAAAGGTATTTAATTTCAACTTCCACGGGGGGCTGGGGGGGAGGAGATCATTCAACAACGAGGGGAGGAGATGCATGGTAAATTGCCCACGGTTACATTTCCTTTTGTCACATGCAGAGACCATAGAACTCCCCCCCGTCGTCGTCCTGCCTGACTATTCCTTTCAACGGTTCCGATGGTCGTGTTCGCCCCCTTCCCCAAAACACAGTTTCCAAAAGGGAAAATACCTCCCTTTCAGGCCTCCCTCAGATTTGTCATCGTGTTCATAAAAGCCTCATGGAAATATCGCAAATGGGATTTGTCAACGCTGTCACGATGGTTATGGTTGGGTCGCTTGTCTTTTTTTTTTTTCAACTATATTTTGCATCGTGGAACATTTTCTTGACGTACTTTTGGGGGCATCTGTTTGTAAAGAGCAATGTGGATAAGTTGTCGTAGGAAACAGTTAATATAGGGCTCTGTTGACGAATAAAAGAGTATAAAGAGGAAACGGACGGTCTTCGTTTCTGTTTACTTTTATTGTTAATACATTTGGATCCCGCCGGCCGACATCCGATACCCGCATCTACTCTCGGTCGCTGTATTGCAAAGCAGATCCGCTATCCGCTATTCGTAAGCGCTTGACCGCCTATATCGGACTACCGTTCTCGAATCTAGCAATTTCAAAGCCACCTCTCCGATAACAAAAATGTTTGACTCTGGTAATTATGGGTCCAGCAACCCTTCGACAGACTCAACAACATCCTCATCATCCTCAACATGGACCCAAGATCCAGCATCTATGGGTATCATCATCGGTGTCATTGGCGTCATATGTCTCCTAGGCATTGCACTCCTCATTTGGTCTTGCTACCGCTATCGTCGTGCAAAATTACCTACCTATGAAGATGCCGTTTCCCGAGGACCCAACCGGAATGTGGTATTGGAACCATTACCACCATATGAAAAAGACGATGAGGTAGATGAGATTCGATGCGATACTACAAGTGACATGAATGAGACGGCGCCAGGCGAGGGTAATGATGAGCAAGAAGAGGATCTTCCTCCTGCAATATATTCCCCTGCTGAAACTCTTCCTGTGGAAATTGTCGTAAGAGGATGATTTTCCCACCTCATGCCTTTACTCCCAACCAATTTCCTCTCGAGAAAACCAGCCGAGTACCTTCCCTTGCTAAAACTCTAATACCACAAGTTATTATTTGTACATAGAATTTTTATCATGTATAACTTCTGTTCTTGAACCAAAATCTTTGTTTATATATATTAATTATAAAGTATTTACCGCTATCGATCGTTTTTGTCATTTTAACTTTCATGGACATTCCTCTCATGAGACCAATATTACTGAGGATTTATTATTCATAAGCCCATGTAGGGCCCAACCCGTTCTTTCACAATACATCAATGTTTACGATAGTCACGTCATGCATCCGCCGAGAATGATCTTGGCCCAGCAAGTGCCAACCTTCATCTGGTCTATATAACAGGATCGTTGAACCTCGCTTGCCCGCCAAAATCCTCAGTCTCTTTACCTTTTGCCCGCTCAAATTCATATTCCTATCCCACTTGCCCGCGTAAATCCTGGGTTTTCATCCTTTACTTTGCCCCAGAAGCACCCTTTTGACTGAACCCTATCCGCCGCATATAATTATATCAAGCATGCAACTCAAGAGTCTCATTTTCCTTGCTCTAGCAACAACGGCTTTAGCCCTCCCTTCTCCCACCAACGACAAGGACAAGAAAAAGCATTGGGACCACAACAACGATTGGGAGAACCACGACGACAAGAATGACAACGAGACCAACAGTACTACTGCTTGCCCGCCTCAAAGTCCCGTCATTGGATTATCCGAGTGTGTCATTAAATGTCTAGACAGCTATAATCTGCGAGCTGCTACAAACATTGGAGCAATTGTCACCGCTGTGTGTACGTACCCGCAGGAATATTTTGATGGCGGGTGGAAAAACACCCAGAATCCGAATGATTTTGGATACTGCGAGAAGAACTGCCCAGATGGTTCTCAGGTAGGAACCCTCCCATACACAGCACTCACAATTAGATTTTCAACTAACGAAATCATCTCCAGTTGGTGTCAATGCTTGGCTATCTCCGAAACAGCACATTGTGCAACATCAACATTCCAGGCATTACTCTGCCGCATCCTTCAATAAACACTGGTGAAGAACCAGGTTCAGCAACAGCGACCGCGACAGCTACAGCCGCCGATGCTTTCTGGGGAAATACACAAGAAAAGTAAAGTATCCGATCAAAAGATGCCAATGACCCAGATGAATTGTAAAATGGATGATTGTAAAGTTTATGTAAAGTAAAAAAAACCTGTACACATGTTAAATAGTAGTAGTAAGTCATGATCCTAGTGCTCATTACCTTATGCAATTGGGTATTTATTCCAACTTCTCCTTCACTAATGTCATGTCCACGTTATGGCAAGTACAAAGTTGAAATCTTGACAAAGAAAACCACCGCTCCAGAACGACCAGGCTCATCATTCACTTTCAGCCTGGTGGCTCTGAATGGTGGTTTCTATGACAAGTACTCAACAGATGGACAAGGGCAAGCAACAGATTCCGTCGTTTTCGTTCATCCGCAGATAGAAAACCCACATCCAGAGAGACGATTCCCAATCAAGAAACAAAATAGCCAATCGTGGCTCTGAATGGTGGTTTCTATGAGTGTATGACGAATAATCGGATCGTAAAAACTGCGTCGGAAAGAAAGTCCGGAATTCTAGCAGAACAGAGCCAGTGGACACACGAGGCCGATCGGAGCAAAGGACAAGGGAAGAAGCACAACCCAGTGAGTTGAAGCAAGAGGAAAAGGTGAGCGTCCTCCTTTTTATAACCCGCAGAAGCTGCACACGTGTGCAAAGTGCAAACTGCGGCTCTTCCATCATGTCAAAGACAAAAAGGACAGGGAGGTGTGAAGGTGTGAAATGGAGACAGTGTGGTTAAACGGGCTATTCTATAGTTATTTGCGGTTCACTAGAATCATGAATTCAATTTTGTCGCATCAAGCGCTCAGACACTGTAATGCATTGTAGTGTCATGCATCCGTTATCGCATTCACATGCTGGAAAGGAAAGCGACTCACGGCGCGCGCATGTGTAAAGAATGCAATTCTTGCTATTCTTGGAAATGCATTTGCTGGATTCAGGTTATTACTGGTGATTTTGTGTTTTTTGCATTGCGCACAGGCCTGGTCAACGCTGCCCAAAGGAATAGTTTCGTGGTGGCATTGGCGATGGAGGAGATGGCGGTGGTTGGAAACCCGCTGTGATGCATTCGGAAAGAATAGCACAGCAATTTCCAACAATTTCCAATCTCCATGAGGTATACCATGCCCAACCCGGTTATAGCCGGGTTTTACCAAGATCGGAAGCCCAATGCATCAGACATCCACTCGGGAACAAAAGTCTGCATAACGTTGAACCAAAGTGCATCCATGCCCACTAAATATCTCTCCTTGGGCCATCGGCTTGTCATTGCATGCACTACTGCTGCGGCAACGTGATCAGGAGGAATCGCCTCTTCTTTGGCTAGGTAAGCCATTTCTTCACACATTTTGAACAGCGGTCGGTACATCTTTTTGAGTTCGGGAGGAGCATCGCTGTAAATTGGGTCGGTCGAAAATGTCTGAAATCCCGCAGTTTTTTCTTTTTGGCTTTCATGGGCGGCTATGGAGTCGAATCCTTTGGTCCAAATCTCGCTTTGGATCGAGCCTGATTTTTTGGTAAAGTATTCAACGCCAGAAATCCATTAATGCCATCAAACTTTGATGAACACTCTACCTGGCTCGACGAAACTGACGGCTACACCGCTCTTGAAGAGTTCCCGCCTCCACACGGTGCTCAAAGATGACAGGGCTGCCTTGCCGACATGATATGCTCCAAAACCTGGCAAATGAAAAGTCCAAGCCATCATGCTACTGATATTGATCACTCTTCCTTTTGCGAGTCGCAAAGCCGGAAGGAATTTCTTTGTTAATTTATAGGCTTGAAAGAGATTCACGTCGAGTGAATAGTAAAAATCTTCGTCCCGAAAGAGTTCGAGAGGGCCAACGATTGCTCCGCCGGCGTTGTTGATGAGTCCTGCAAGACCTTTTGGGCCACAATGGCCGATGACTGTTTGCACAGCGCTGGCAACGTCTTCATCTTTAGCGACATCCAGTATCACTGTGTGGATGCTGGAGAGTTTGAGTTGAAGTTTTTGCCACCCTTGTGCATGTGCAAAGACCCGAGAAACTCACCTCCCCTTCCCTTTCCCAATTTTAACCTTGTCTTCAAACTCTGCTACTAGCGACTCTCCATCTTCTGTGCTTCGAATCCCAGCAAATACCTCATAACCTCTCTCTGCTAACCGCATGGCAATACATCTTCCTATCCCTTTGCTCGCACCCGTAACCAACACGGTTGGTTGTTCATCAACTCGGGGAACTTTGGGTTCAAAGCTGGGTACCCAGCGTAAGAGATGAAAGAACCAAAACAGAATGTTATGAACGATGGTCAACAGAGGATTGATAATAGAGAATGATACAGAGTTGAGAACTGAGATGAAATGGAGGACAGAACGTGGAGTCTTCATTCTTGGATTTGTACAGAGTTTGTGAAATTGGCAGTAATAAGTCTCAGATCAGTACGTGAGCACCATAACCGACATTCAGAATAGGCGATAAAACTAACACATCCACTATTGCCAATGCGTATGCATCAGCCTTTGTCACATTTCGTAAGGGGGTTTAATGTGCCGCAGAGAATATGGCATTACACACGGTCAAGCCGTCGATTCACTAATGATACGCTGACATGCATCATCGGTTGACTCTGCAGTACTTGGAGCCCCGTAGAAAGACTATGGACAAGTATTTTAGAAGGCTAGAATCGAACAAGCCAACACAACAGTAGCTGGCATCACCAGAAAGGGCAAATGAATTTCTGGCCATCTCCGGGACAAGTCTTAAGTAATGGCAATACGGTCATCAGGGCCCACTGCCTCCTCAAAGGCAAAAACAAAAACGTACAAAGCGCAGGAAAGACAGGGTGCTTGACAAGAAGCCGTCCAGCCGCCCAGACACTAAAGCACCATGTTACGTAACAAGTCTTGGCCTATTGCTGATGTGTCATGAAGAGCCAAAATCAAGAGAAACTCGATGGGGCCCGCTGGCATCAGTTTAAAGCTTTGACGAACGTCTTGCCGCAGGGTTAATTTGCATCATGAGATCATTAACTCCATCTTTTGTTCGATAATTGATAACGAAATCCCTTTTACTTTTCGGTGCATGATCAATTACGTTAAAGAGAGTGTAATGTCGACGTGTCACCTTCTGGGTGAGAGATTGGGGTCCTGGTTTTAGGATGTCATCGTCCAGTCTGTGTCATTGCCCCGGGAATGGGATTATTATGCATTAAACATTTCTATCAAGAAGATCTCAGCAGTTCTCCATTGATCTTGACGATACCCTAGCACATTAAGATCGGATAACTATAATTCTTCTTTGTGAAATTGTACCATCTGCTCGACATCATGTTGACATCTGTAGAGATGCCGATTCAAGTGTATCATAGCCATTTTAAGGTTATATCGCACAAGCGTCAATCAATGGTATGCTTCACGTTAATAGAATATCCTTTTCCCGGTGCTTGTAGACCAAAGCCGTTAGCTTTCCTCCTACCATTTCTCCTACTTTACCTCCCGAATCAACCGATCATCTCCGAATATTTTTGATCCAGTCAGCTCATGGGCTTTATGCATCGTCAGGTATGTAAATAGTCGTGCCGAATCAAGAGTTACGCTAATACCTGCCAAATGTCCCCCATTCCAGGAGGCTATCGAGCCAATATCGCGCTAGCTCGCGCAATGCGATCGCGAGGACATGTCATTAAAATGCTTGCATCTGTATACGCCAACGAGGTCGCTACCATCCCTCATACTCGGACAGTCGAGAAATTCGGCCACAGGGTGATTCCCGTGTATCGCTTCTGGTATGGGCAAATTGACGTTGTCGCATTGGATGCGGATGAGTGTCGGGAAGCTTTCAATCGGTCCAAAGAGGTGACTGAAATGATGGAGTCTTGGCTGGAGGTACGCCATGTTTGATCTCTGATGGGATTGAAAAACAAAAGGTTTTCTTCTAACTTGCGGTCGTAGAATGAAAAGGACGTTCCACTCCTCACCGCAAGACAAGAATTCGTGGCAAAGGAAGTCGCCTCCTTTCATCCATCCCACGTAATCATGAACGATTACTGTTCCCTCAAAGCTATTCTTGAGGCACGCATTCCGCCATGCACCAAAATCTTTATCGTCCATGATGCAGAGGACCTTCCCTTTGGACCGTTTGCTCGAGGACAGCCGTGTTTTGGTGAGTGTTCTTTGGGATATTTTTCCAGTGGCTACGCGCTTTCTGATGGTAAGATCTTCCACATAATGGACTGCGCCAAACCTCCATCACTCGCACTACATCAGACGGGTACACGATCAAAACATCCTACCGTCGCCTTCAACACGTCGATGGCCTGTGGGCCGTCAGTAATGCCGTTGCAGATTACTTTGCAAACTACGGTAAACTAACATGCAGGATCTTACCGAACCATCCTCTCATTTACGGTGACGACGTCCATTCACTGCCGTTTTACCAAAACTTTGACAAGCCGTATATTTGTGCAATTAATCCTGGTTATCTGAAAGGATTCCCGATTGTCAAAGCAATTATGGAACGGATGCCTGAAAATCAGTTTTTGATTGTTAAATCTTGGAACATATTGTGGAATCCGTTTGTGTTGGAAGAGTTTGAAAAGATGGAGAATGCCATGTAAGCTGGGCCGATGTCCTTTGTGATAGACAGTGCCTCAGCCGTCTATATATCGCTAATAGATTAGCGTTGGGCCAGCTTGATGGATCCAGTTAGCGACATGGAAAGTCTCTGGCCGCAAGTCAAAGTTCTCTTAGTCCCAAGCCTCTGGTATGAAGCCTTCGGTCTTGTCGTAATTGAAGCTCTTCTCCGCGGGATTCCTGTCCTGTCTTCGAACGCGGGCGGCTTGATTGAGGCCCACCTCGGCGTTCCCTACGTTGTCCCCACCAACAACATCACTGGAGAACGCGAAACAGACCAAGAACTCGTAAAACGACAGGGTACGGACTACAAAATTCCGCAAAATTCCGCTGATCCTTGGGTCCGTATCCTTCGCAGTCTCATGCATGATCAGGAATTGTACGAACGGATCCGCTTGCAAAGCCGGATCGCTGCTGTTGCATATGTCAAGGGATTGGATTCGCAGATGTATGAGGATTATATGAAGAGTTTGGAGCAGGTACAGCGAGCAAGGGTTGGAAAGAACCATCTGGTGGGATAATGACAAAGACTTGGCTGTGGCTGTTGAATATATGCTGTGTATTTTACATGTTTGAGCACCGTATGGAGTAACCTACAGCGCTGGTAGAGCTTTACCGCTTTTAGATGGACGTTGTAACGATGCAACTTCTTCAAGCACAGCATTTGTTCTGCTGTCCGGCTGCAATCCATTCGAATGCAATAAAATGGCCAAGTAACGTCATGGATGGTTTCAAGCGATGGGTCTGGCCTTCTTCCCATTAAGAGTTTACCGAAATGTCAACCGACGGACATTACGACAATATAAAGGACTATTATGGCAAAGTTCTCTCGTCCACAAAAGATCTGAAGACATCTGCTTGTTGTGCTGCCGAGAAACCGCATCCCATTATTCGACAACACCTCCTCCAGATCCCCGAAGCAGTCCTGAGCAGATTCTATGGATGTGGTAACCCTGTCCCACTGGGCATAGAAGGTCTATCGGTACTCGACCTCGGATGTGGAACTGGTCGAGATTGTTATCTTGCTGCTGGGTTGGTCGGTCCCAAGGGCGCAGTGATTGGTGTGGACATGACGGAGGAGCAGTTGAAAGTCGCCAGGAACTCATTACAGGAGTTTGAACAAAATATTGGCTATAAACCTAATATGAGGTTTGTTCAAGGATTTATTGAAGCACTGGACGACATTATTCCCTCTTCGTCGATTGATGTTTGTATTTCAAATTGCGTCATCAATCTGTCCCCTGATAAGGAGGCAGTCCTCAGAGGAGTTTACAACGCATTGAAACCCGGCGGAGAGTTTTATTTCTCGGATGTCTATGCAGACCGACGGATACCCGCTCACGTACAGTCCCAGAAGGTTCTCCAAGGAGAGTGTCTTGCAGGAGCACTATATGTTCAAGACTTTCTCCGTCTGTGCCACAAAATAGGCTTCACAGAGCCCCGCCGCTTATCGACATCTACGATCGATGTCACCGACCCTGATCTTTCTGATATATGCGGAAATATCAAGTTCTACTCTATCACCTACCGACTCTTTAAACTCCCCGAATTAGAGAGCATATGCGAGGATTATGGACAGGTCGCTACGTACCTGGGCACACTACAAGGACACAAACACTACTATGATTTGGATGATCACCATCAATTTGTGACAGGGAAACCAATGTTGGTGTGCGGAAATACAGCGGATATGGTGGGTCAGTCGTGGTTAGGAAAGCATTTCAAGGTGGAGGGAGACCGGAGTGTACATTTTGGGGTATTCGAGTGTGGGACCGGCAAGGAGAATGATAATGGAAGGGCTGGCCCTTGTTGCTGATTCGTTACCCGTCTCGGCGGTCATGGGTCATCGTAGATACACAATCATTGACAATATACAGGTCTGTTTATGAATAGAACCATTTGCATCTATACTATGACTTGAAACCTGCAAGTGTCCCATTAATGTCCTTACATAGTTGTCCACTACTGCAAACTTGTCGTCTTCCACCCAGTAGCGGTTCCAGCGGTCGTGTTTATGACAAAGGCCAACCAAATAGTGCCGGCACTTACAGGATGACGGAAAACGACCAGTACGGATCGCACTCTGAGGAAGCCCTTTGGCATCGGAGCCTATACTTACCCGAAACCCACTCCAAAGTTGTGTGGATCATCGCATATCTTCTTGTCTTGGTCGTCTGCACGTAGTTCTGCATGGCTTTCGCCGGTAGATATCTTTGCAATTCCTGAAACTGCTTGTGTGGTTTCGAATGCATTCAGAACTCGGACTAGGACATGTATGGCGTACCCTTCATCGGTATCTATCTAAAGGTGTCTTCAACCCGACCCACTGAACTTCCCAGTCTCCTAGCACAGCTATAAGCATATTCCTGACCGTGCAATCCATCAGTTATCGAGGCTGAGTACTTGAGCTAACCTGACCTCCTAAAGAGGCATCTAAACACCGGCGACAGCAACTAACCTGACAATTTCGGCAACTCCGTAATAGCTTGCGTTTGTGTCATGGATTTGGGTGTCAACGAGGAATGCCATTATGGGAAATGGTTGCTTTTAGCGCCAGTCCCGGTCGCTAGTACGATCGATACTTTTCTAGCAACGCTTTGGAACCCAACAGTCCATTGCCAAAGGGCAATGGGGGCGTCAACGGCTGGTACAAATGTGGAATTTCAGCCATCCAACGGGCAAGGGACCAATTGTTCATATGAGCAATGGCCTTTTTGTCCCTCCTGCAAGAGTCACCAAATCGAGGGCCAAGTAACGTCACCGCATTGTAAGTTATTGGCTGCTTTTGAGACTCCAACCTCTCATATTTTCCGTCAATATTCGATGAAACACAAATGCCGGTCCGATTTCGCGGACTGGCAGTAGCAGTAGATAATCTACGCAAATCGATGCTCATTGTTTTGAACGCAGAATCAAAGCTAAGAGTATCTGTGATATTTACAATATGAATGAAAGCCCCACAAAGGAACATACACGCCATAACTCCCCTACATCCACTTTTCCTTCCATATCCATCCTTCACCTACAACCTCCTTTCCTTCTTGCACCGCGCTCCGAAACCACTTTGCACTTTCTTTACGGTCCTTTTTCACCCCCACACCATTTAGCAAACAATAAGCCGTCTCAATCATTGCATCAGGATCACCTGCACAAGCCGCCGCTCGAAGGAAGTAGAAAGCCGCCGGAAGCGATTTTGCCACGCCCCATCCATGCCTAAAACATATTCCGAGTTCGTATAATGGTAAGGGAAGAATAGAGCGGGTAATACTCAAGTCTGTCAAAACATCGCCAGAAGTGAAGTTTTGAGTGGGGGAAGGTGAACTCGTTATGATTCTAGACGCTGTGGCAAAAATGGACCATGTGGACATTGGGCGTGAAACAGTTGAGGTGCGGGAGGTTGATGATAAACGGCGGGTGAGAGAGGGAAAGATGGAGGAGGATCGGGGGGGAGCGATCATACCGTGACTTCTACTGGATGTGGGTAGCGAGTCACAGGAAGGTGATATTCCCAGCCCGTTTGCAAGATTGGAAGCCGGTGGTACCACTCCGTTCCACGCACTGGATTTTGATTTTGATGAAGGTCTTTCAGTGGAAGATGTTAGATCGCCCGGTGTCATGTGCTGTCCAGTGGTGGAGCTCGAACCCGAAGCACCAGAAGTTGGGTGCGCTTGCTTGTCTTTCCATCGCTTCCACACTTCCGCGACACCGACTATACTGGCCTCTGCCCCTCGCACAAAGCACCTGACGGCCCGTATCCTGTCTTCCTCGACACCCCATCCATGGCGCAAACACATGCCCAGCAGGTATAAACCAAGCGGGTGCCCTTCCAATGCAGATCGTTCGAGGTAGTACACGGAAAGGTCTAGGTTGTCTGATTCGTGATAGTAGATTGCCAGTTGAATGTTGTCGGTTGCCTCCAGGTGAGGAGGTGGCGGTGGAATAGTTGGTGGAGCATAATTGAGTGGCCGGGTGGGATCAATCGCAGGGTGAACGCTGGAAGGCTGTAGTGTCACAGATGGTGCCAGAGAGCATTCTCCCTTGGAATTTGCTCGCCTTCTTAACTTCCGCCAGGTCCGTTTTAAATGAGAAAGTCCACATAGTCCTCTGGATGTATCGTCGCCCGTTCCTTCAATTTTCTGCTTGTTTTCCTTGCGTATTCGGATGTCCTTATCTGCCACTTTAGACGACAAGTCCACCATTCTGTTCCGTGGAATAATCTTATTTATTACATTCTCTTCTGTTTCCCTTAACTTTGTCATCAAGCCCCGCACATCAAGATCTTGTCCCAATTCCCCCTGAAGCAAGTCAACCATCTCAGACGGGATGGATTGTAGTCTGCGTTCAATTGTTGCGTCCGAAAATGCAGCACGAGGATTGGTAGCGCGGATGGAAGGTTGGCGGGAGCGGGAGGCAGGCACCACATTGGACAGCATAGTTGGATGCGATGCCATAGATTGACGAGTCTCGGCATCAGGATTAGGGCCGGGATTGCTATTGGTATTGTCCATCGACGACTTTCGCGCTTTTCTTCCCAGGGTCTGAGATGGTCCACGCGGCTCGGGAAGATCTGCTATGACCGAGCTGCGGAACAACAAGGTTGGCTTTGGACGCAGTCCCCCGCAGTCTAAAGGCGACTTTCTTACCTAAGCCTCGCCAGCTCGTTGTTCAGTTCATCAATGTCACCGTCCATCAATCGGGCCGTGTCCCCATCATTATGGACTGAACTCGGCCGGGGACGTGACGCGGACGTCGATTTGCGACGTTCGGTTGTATTGGACTGCACTTGCAAGTTTGGGCTATCAGACAAACCCAAGTCGAGGTCCCTGCTGCGTTGGCTTGGGCTGCGTGAAGGAGGTATTGAAGCTTTTGGGATAGGTGAGGGTGTTATTGTGGGGACGGGAAAGGAAGTTGGGGACTGGGTCGTCTGTACAGGAGGCATATGGAAATTGAACGGGATGGATGTTGTTGAGGTTGACAAGTTTTCTGCAAGATTAAGTTTATCCACACTTGTCATTGTGCTGGCGTGCAATGCGAAGTTTGCATGGAGCATGAATGTTATCAACGGGTGAAAAGCGACAACGGAAACGTCTCAAACTTTGTCGCCCGCTTCGCGCCTGCTCCGGTTTCTGAGACCAAGTCCCGCAATGCTACGTTTTAACGGACAGTAAGCCCACTTCCCAGTAGGTTCCCCTACCGGCAAATTGCCCTCCACAAAAAACTGCAGTTGAAGAAAGTAGAAGGATGACGTCGCCTTGGATTTGCAGTCAGGGCCAGGGCTTTGACGTGTTCCGCCCAAATTCGGGCAGTCGCTAATAATAACCACTGGTCAAAAGTATAATCAGAATAATCGAACGCACCCCATGAGATATGCTCGTCAACCCTGACAGCTTACACAATGCTTGCAGTGTCGGAGGGGTCAGCGTTCAATCAATCGTATCTTGCGATCCAATGATCGAACAAAAAGCATGTTATTTTTAGATTGGCCATGGGCCTATCTATAAATTCATCCAAGAAAAGAATCGGCCCGGCAAACAAGGAGGGCGCGGCGCGCACACGGGGGGATTTGCATGCTCTTTTCCCCTTGCGCAGCCACGGAATGTGAACGTTGCATATACTAATATCTCATAAAAGAAATCCCAATCACTTTGTTGTTGGAATGGCCAAAGAATCTTGGAACGCTTCACCAACATATATGATGCGAATTTCAATGAACAACAAAAAAAAAGTCGTCGACAGCATATGAACCAATAGGCAACGGAAATGGAAACTCTTGTTCATCCGATAAAAGACACATGACACCCACTTCCTCTATCAAGATGCTATCCATAAACCTCGGTCACCCTCACGACGCCAGCGGTTACGCTTCCAGCGTGAACCCAATACCAACACGTCCCTGACCACCGCCACCTTTTGCGTAGTCAATCTCCCCAGAAAGATGGAATGCCAACCCTCCCACAATACGCTCCTCCAATACAGCACTCAAGCGACCCATCGTATCAACCATTCCACGGATGCTCGCATTGATCGTGTCAAGTTTGAAACCAACGCTAGCAATACCTTCTCTCCGACCTTCACCCATACGTCCGCCCTTGGTCATCAAAAGCTGAACTTCCGCACACACTTCCAAACGTTGATTCAAGCGACGCCAGTAGGTAGAGTGCAAAAGACCGCTGCCCGGCTGGAATGTGGCAGTAAATACTTGAGTAGGTGACTTAGGGTCAACCGGCGGGAAAGGCGATGGCATGCCCGGAGGAACTGTGGTCGGTGGCGGGAGTGGAGATGGCGGCGGTGCATAGCGCAAGGCATACGAAAGACTCGATTCCTCCACGTCAGCCATCATACGGTTGTACACAAACTCGGTACCAAGCGCTACAGATTGCGTAACAGATTGAAGATATGCTAATTGGTAGATGCCCGTGGTGGAACTGGATCCTTTCTTCCCCCAAGACGCGGCCTTGTCCACCGGGTTGGGGTTAACCGCTTTCACATTAAAGGAATAGTCCGAACCAACGTGATCATGCTCCAGCTGAACCATATTTTGACCAGGCTGATTTGTAAAGTGGGCCGTTACTTTGGAAGTCGACGATAACTTTGGTTGCTCAGGGAGCTGGGGAGGAGGCTGCTCGTGCGGAGGCTTGGTTGGATCGTAAGCCGGTTGCGCTGCAGGATTCGCTGGCTGTGCTAGCCAGTTGTAATTTGCGCGGGCCTGCAGACCACCTTGATCATCCACCTGTCCGTGTAGCATGATCTGTCGACGCAAGGAATAAGACACGAGATTCTGTGGACCCTCTATATAGAGACGCTTATTCTGACCTTATCCTTTGCATAGACCGTACCAAAATGATATGTAGGAGGAAACTGCGATGCTCCCCAAGAGAAAGAATGCATGACTTGGAAGTGCGGTGTCAACACTGAGGTCAAATCAAACTTGGCTCCCTCGATCAAGAAGTTGGTAGGCTGCACCACTGGAACAAAAAACACCCTTGTTAAATCCATGATAACGTTTGTTGTGGGTCAAGCGACAGTATTCAGGCATCCCATTGACGAGCGCGAACATCAATCATAGAAACGTCTACATTGTTCACTTCGGACAGCCACTTTGCGGATGTTCACTCCAATACAGGACCTCTCACTGCTTCCTCGCCATATAGCGCTTCTACTCACTCTTTGCTTCTCTGTGCAGGCCTTCCCAACTTCCCGGGGTTGGCAAGTTCATCTTCTGCCGGAACGCGGCAATCCGGTCAAAGAGACCACCGACTGCCGCCGGTGCCTGTGGCTTTGCGCTAGCATCGGCCATACTGCTACTTGCGTGTGAGTAGACCGCGAAGAATCCGTTTCAAATAGTCCTCGTAGCTGGAAATGGCCGACTTGGGTCCGCCCGATGCAAATGACGAAATTGGGACTAGGAAGAAAACTCCGTCGTCGTCACCCTCGGAATGCTCGTCCATCCCGTTTGGTTCCATGGCAACAACGGTTATAGAACCATATGGCGCAGCAGATTATATATAAAAGGCTATATGATGAGCATTTATAGTTAGATGATAAGCCATTAAAGGGTTAATGATGCGCTCATTGGATTGGATGGAACTAACATAGCAACGGTTGCTATCCACTGAACACTGCATTTTTCATATTGCGCACCTGCGAAACTCACCAGGGCTGACGCAATTTGAAGATCAGACTGTAACGGGAAGACACGTATTCACAGCGTTTGACATCTATTTTCCCCGTCTACTGCGATTGGTGAGTGTGCTGGGTGTTGGGTGATTGGAGATTATTGGTGCTTCGGCCAAAATGGCGGGAACTGGTTGCATTCTGAGAGATGAACTAGGAGCGAATCCAAGGCAATTCTGGCGGTTAGGGAACGTTAGGGGGTCTCGCGAGCTAATGATGGGGACTCTGTTCAAATGGCATCTGCTGACAGATATTTAGTCTTCACTGACATGGGGGGAATGTACTAGTATTTGACTTCAGTCTGACTTACTCTGTTAACCATAGGTCAGTTCTAAAGATGCCGCCCGCGCTTGACACCCACCTCGATGAGGACGAGCTCGCAGAAATTGACTTCTCCGACATTGAAGAGCGATACCGTGTTGATCTTCCCACCGGCTTCGACACGGTTGTCGTTGTCGACAATGTTCCGGTTGTCGGAGACGCCAAAAGGGAGAAGCTTCTTACCATGATCCGTAAAATGTTTTCGAATATGGGAGCGATCAAGGATTTGCATATGCCAACTGACCCGAAAACCGGGGAATCTAAAGGGTTTCTCTTCATTGATTTTGAGACACCTGAAGGAGCGGCAATGGCTGTAAGACACGGCAACGGTACACGGCTGGACAAGAGGCACGTCCTTGCCGTCAACCGGTTTGACGATATTGAGACGTACACGAGTGTAAGCGACGAATATCAAGAGCCCGAAGAGGAACCTTTTGTGGAGAAGGAGTACATGAAGAGCTGGCTCGGGGATCCCCGTGCGCGTGATCAGTGGGTTATGATGAAGGGAGAAGACGTTAGCATTTACTGGAACAACAAAGGCGAGCAGCCTGATTTGGTGCACAGCAGAAGCGTAAGTTCTTGTCTTTTGCGCTGTACAGCAGCGTGAACTGTTGGCTGATACGTATTCAATAAACAGAACTGGTCCGACATGTACGTCTCTTGGTCGCCCAAAGGTACATACCTTGCAACCTTCCACAAGCAGGGTATCGTCTTGTGGGGAGGTCCAAGCTGGAGCAAAATCGTTCGATTTCCACATACCAACGTCAAGCTCATCGACTTCAGCCCCAATGAAAAATACCTGACCACTTGGAGCCATGAGCCTTTTGTAACTCCTGAAGGAGAGCATCATGTAAGTGATAGATCGTCGTTTTGTTAGTATCTCCGTCAAATGATGATCACACAACACATGAGGAGTTGTATGAGCGCATACCAGCTCCTCGTTGCATGCGAGTAGAGCTATGTCGCGTGGATTATCAAAAAGAACAGAGATCTGATGACATACGCGGTTATTTCCTATCGCCATTTTCCAAATGAATTAAATCTTGATTCCTTCTAGCACATTGCGATTTGGGATATTGTTACCGGAAGAAAGCTGCGTACCTTCCCCCTTGAATCGTCAGCGTTAGGTCAACAAGACGGCAAACAGAACACAGTTAAAATTGACTGGCCTATGTTCAAATGGTCTCACGATGACAAGTACGTTGCCCGTATGTTACCGGACATGATCAGTGTATACGAGACTCCGGGAATGGGTTTGCTGGATAAGAAGAGCTTCAAGGTGCGCCTCAGGATTGCATTTTGCGATTAACTTCTTCTATAACTGACGTTCTATATGAACAACAGATCCCTGGTGTCAAGTCATTCGCTTGGTCACCCTCCGACCATATTTTGAGCTACTGGACCCCCGAAAGCGGTAATATCCCAGCGCGTGTCACTTTGACCCAGGTTCCTAGTCGCAACACCGTCCGAACCAAGAATTTATTCAATGTCATTGATGTAAGTATTTTGCCTTCGTTGGTCGGACCGACAGATTACTCATTGCTGAGTTCAGTGTAAATTGTACTGGCAATCGGCTGGAGACTACCTCCTCGTCAGAGTTGAACGAGTAAAAACAAAGAAGTCGACCATGACCAACTTTGAGGTGTTCCGCATGCGTGAAAAGGATGTGCCTGTTGACGTGTCGGAGATTGACAGCAACATAGAAGTTACCAATATCTTCTGGGAGCCAGCAGGGCCGCGCTTTGCGGTACTAGCTCAGGAAGGACAAAAGATTCTATGCAACTTTTATCAAATGGTCACAGCCAAGGATACGACAGCGGGAAAGAAAGGAGGCCCATCAGCAACTGACCTTGCTCAAGGCGTGAAATTGCTCAAGTCGGTAGATGCAAAGGGCACAAATCAGGTGATATGGTCACCGAAAGGACGATTCTGCGTATTAGCGGGTGTTCGGGCTTTCCAAGGAGAACTTCAATTCTGGGATGTGGATGAGCTCATTTTGATGAACACTGGCGAACATTACATGTGCACAGACGTTGAATGGGACCCTACTGGACGATACGTAACCACCTCTGTGTCCTGGTGGCGTGTTCAGAGTGATACTGGTTTTATCATGTGGACATTTACAGGTCAAGTTCTGGCCAAGCAGAGCGTCCCATTCTTCAAACAATTGTTGTGGCGCCCACGACCACCTATTCTCCTGAGTCCCGAAAAACAAAAGCAAATACGAAAGAATCTCAAAGAGTACAGCAAGCAATTTGAGGAGGAGGATGCGGCTCAGACTAAAGCCGTCAGTCGGGAAGTGCTCGAAAAGCGGGTACGCCTTTGGAAGGAGTGGAACGAATATGTCGCTCGTGTGCGGGACGATTACGAACGTGCAAAGGATCTTCGAACCGATATCTGGGGCTTCGATCCTGAAGAGGTGGATGAAGGAGAAGTTGAGGGTGTTGAGGAATGGGTGGAGGAGATCATTGAAGAAACGGAGGAAATCGTGGAAGACTAGAGGCGGCGGGATGCCCAAATTTTTTATGATCTTGCAGGCGTTTGGGATCATACAAATATACGCATGATAGAGCACTGGCATGTCTATTCCAAAACCGCAGTGTTTGAGAAATTTCAATGTGATTCGACTCATTCCTAGCGTCCACTTGTATCTATTTTGTATGTCAGGTAATGCCCTTTATACATGCAATCCCTTTTCTTTACAGATTTCCCTCCAGATCTCCCCATTTCTTCCTCTTCCTCCTATTATCCTTCGTCTTTGAAAATTCTCTCAGAATCTTTAATCCCATTGCACGCCCGCCTAGACCCCATCTAGCTGCAATCCAGTGTCGTTGTTCGATTTCAACAAATCCCGTGGATAGTATTATGTATGTCATCCGGTAGTGGCCTTTCCCGAGAACGATGGAGAGGACGTCTGGTAAGATGGCATAGGTGCAGGGTGCTGGATTTGTTAAAAGGGTCATGGCGGTTTCGAGGTGGTTTCGGAGTGCTGTGATGTACCACAGGAGGATTGTTATGGTTGTCTCAGGTGATGATCGGATGGTTGCTGGGGAGGGCGACTTTGACGTTGCCCATCCGATTCGGAGAAGAGTTACAGGAAGGTAGACGGGTGGTGATGGAATAGGTGATGGGGGATATTGGAGGGCCAAAGCATCATGGCACCATATTGGGTTTCCTTTGTCTGGTTTTCCTTTTCGCACAATTTTGGAGGCGACGTAGCTAGCCAGGATCCGACAAGTCGTTTGGTCAAGCCAACATGCTGGCCACCTATTATGAAGAATCCCAATTTCCACCGTCCATAGTTCAACTTTTCCGAGTGTCTCGGGATGTGTTGCGATCCATTTTGCTTTGGTGTGAGGGGAACGGATCAAATGTGATATTCTTCGACTGGTTAACGCGAGATGTCCCAGGGTGATGGGATGTGAAATGTTTAGGATAATCTGTAGGAGGATTTCTGGTGGTAGGAATGGAAGGGATGGAGTAGATGACAAGTTATGGTGTCCCATTTGCGACAGTTTTTTTGGGTCGATCGAGCTTTGCGATTGCCGACAAGGTAGTTCAGATTGGCTTACGTGACTGTCCGCTTCATGTCGGGCCTACCAGGACGCAGCTCTTGGTTTCTCTCCCGCGCGATTTCGTACCGTTGGTTGAGGCAGTGAACTGGGAACAAATATGGCTGGACGTCTATAGTACATGTAGCGACAGTTGACAACGGACAAATATTAATATACACGCGATCTGTATAGATGCCAGTGTGGGCACCGGGGCAACCTACTGCAGATAACGACAGGAAAGATGTAGCAGGAAGCGTAAGGCTGTCAAAACGCTTGTTGCCATGTATCGCACAAGGAGGGACCGCTGATGAAAACGTGTCAACCTTATTACAGTTGGGTCAAGCCATCAAACCACAAGGTTCTTGTTCTTCTGACAAACAACCATGGTTCGACATTTTCTCCAAGAATAAGGGATGTGTGATCGGTTAGCAGGCAGGTATTGTGCTCAGTGGCCTTTCAAGTATCCTTCTCCTCGGTTGAGTACCTGGAGCTTTATTTTCCACAATCCGCTGAATGTGACAGCTTGGGTTAATTCCTTTTACAATAGCATCTAGCGACTTCCATGGCAGTCCATGGCAGTCCGTGGTCAACGGCACAACTGCAGTCAACCTACAAAGGATAGGTGACATACGCAAACCTGCCAGTGATGATTTTGTGGATAAGATGGGCTTGTTTTACGTAAAAACTTTGGTCTCTCAAAACTGAATAATCGCGTCATGGTTCATGTACAGAGAGGCCTGCGTAAAAACTACCTACAAGCTGATTCCCTTCGTCCATATTCACACAGAGCAGCGCAAAGAATTCTTGATACCACCAGAATCTCAGCTTTCAATCACTCCATACTCACGCCATGGCTTCTCTAACATCGATCCGCCGCTTCACGACAACCTCTCTTGCCTTCAACAAAAATCCTTTAAAGCATCCCATCAAATCCGCTGCAGAAGCCGTGAAAAATGCAGCACAAGCCTTCAAAGAAGACGGTTCAATTGGAAAGCAGTTTACTACAGAGGGCGCGGTTGGCGGTACCGCCGAGAAAGTAGCAGAAACCACCGAACATCTGGCGAAAAAGGTTGAACAGAATCCTGATGAGGCCAAAGAGGAGGCAAAGCGAGCTGCCGAAAAGGCAAAGCATGAGACTAAACGCTCTGCTGAGGATACAGCGAACAAGGCGAGGAGGACCACCGAGGAACTGCGGGAGAAAGCCAAAGATGCTATTGCGACAGATCCCGGCTTCAGGAGGGTTTAGGGAGACAACATTTTGTGAGATTATACTGCATACATTGCAATTCCCAATCTGTACATGGCTTTCTGAATACTTGAGGTCATTCTGCTTGTATTGCTTGATGTCGATTCCTTTGAACTCTTTCCGACTGTTATGTAATATACTCAGTATGGCGCAGTCATGGTGTAATTTATCCCCAAACGGTCGATCTCCCTCCTTCGTGTTTCTCCGCTCTTTCGTGTTCGTTTGAGGCTTTTTGTCCGCCAGTGCAGCATGACGCATTAACATCAACAACCTTATTTCAAGCAGACCGCTGTCGCCTTTCATTGAGTTCACCCCACCAGACGTCCTCTGTATATTCATTGCTATTATGGGCCCCGCTGGAGAGACTCTGCTCACCGTCCTCATTCTGGACTATGCCATTCAGCTCGCCTTTTACCTGATATCCGCCCCGCTAAAGACAGAAAAGCTGTACGATGCGTCTGGAGCATTGACTTTCTTTGCATGCACGCTCACTGCACTGCTCTGGCGACGAGATGGGCAGAGTCTGGACGATTTGTCGGCTAGGCAGATCTTGGTTGCGGTGCTGGTGATCGTGTGGTGCCTGCGACTAGGAACCTTTCTGGCGATTCGGTGCGTACAGAATTACTCTATATAGTCAGAACTATGTTTATGCTAAGTTCATTTTTCACGTTAGAGTGTCAAAAACAGAGGACAAGCGGTTCGAAAAATTCAAACATAACCCGATCAAATTCTCAGTCGTGTGGTTCATGCAGGCATTTTGGGTGTTCATGACCGCCTTTCCAGTTTACATTGTTCTGGGAAACCCTAGCAAAAGCCAACGATCCTTTGGTGCCTCTGATATTATTGGCCTTATAATTTGGGTGTACGGATTCGTCGTTGAAGTCGTGGCGGATTCCCAAAAGTTTCGATTCAAGAACCGCCACCCCAGAGACTTTGTTAGTACTGGCATATGGCGCTACTCTCGCTATGCCAACTACAATGGTGAGATCTTCCTCTGGATCGGAATGTTTATCCTCTGTGCACGAGGATTTGAAGAAGGGTGGCAGTGGGTCTCGATCATATCCCCGATTTTCGTGGCCTGCTTGATTATCTTTGTCAGTGGGGTAAAACTGTCCGAGCAAGCGGCGGCGGAAAAGTACGGTGATCGCGAAGGTATGTGAGACGTGGTTGATAGCACTTGAATATTTAACCAAGAACTCATCCAATGTCTATAGACTATCAATTGTATAGGGCGCAAACGAGTAAATTCTTTTTGTGGCCACCAAAGAACATTAAGTCGAAGGTAACAGACCAACAGGCAGCTGTTTAGCCATGTACTTAGATCCTGATACGGTTGTTATGCTATAGTCCACGTAGGCCAATAGTGTCGATAAGAGAATAATGATCTTACATACTAGTAAAACTACTGCGTTTGTTCATGTCTCATACATAAGCTCCCCCATGGCTTGAATTCGCTGTGAATTATGCCGATCATGAGCTGGTTCATGAGATCGGGAGCATATCACGTGATTGTAGCTGCGCCACACCTTTTATTTCTTTTTAAACGAGCCCATCTTCGATCGTAGCTCACTTGTCGTCTTTACCTCCTAGCGGAACTGGTTGGATACAAGAGCATCCATGCTTTCCATGTCGCCCGATCCAGATCCTTTCTAGGCGGATATGACGATACTGGAGATAGTATGTGACTCCTGCTTTTGTGTGGATCTCGCCATCTGCTGGGCACACTTTGCGCTTGAGACCATTGGGTAAGTCCACACATCTGTTTTCTGCCCTGTGCTACCATTTCCATGAGGAAAAGATGACCTATACGATCGGAAAGCCCCATGTCGATATTAGTCATTAGAAAAGTTTCAGCCTTGTCTGAGAAATCGTAGCCTAGAGCTTGAATGTTTGCATATGAGTATCAGTCGGCTAACGTGTTTGTTTTGTGTACGTTAGAGCGTTGAAAAGGTGATACCTTTCAGCGAAGCGATACTGGTGAGTTGATATTTTTTGTATGGGAGGAATTGGGGAATGATGAAGTCATATAGACGGGCGGACGGAAAGGTGTCTTACAAGCACCATTTATCATGTCGAATGTCTATTTGCTGACCCTTGCGTATTGGGCGAATTGTCGACTCTCTTTGTTATGAGATACTAATAAGGTCATTCTTCTCGCTCAAAGGTTGACACCTAGATATCACTCGCCGACTGGTGCCTCCGAGATGTCTTGCCATAGCTTACGGTAAGTGTCTCAAATGTCAAAACTGATGGATGTTGGGTTGGGCGCTTTGAAATGATTAGTGCGTTTACGTCTGCAAAGCCAGACCAAATCATGGTGAATAAAAAACGTTCGGTTCATCAATGATCAAAGCGAATGGTTTCGGATTGTTTTATAAAACTTTCACTCTGCCTTGTAACTAATGGTTTCTTGTCTTTCTTTCTTTGAAGCAGGTACGTGGTCAACATTTTGTTGTGATAGTATTAGCTATTAGAGTTTGCAGACACAAATGTTTACAATAAAATGGACGAGCTATCACCTGATAAAGCGGACTTGTGTGTGTTTCATCATCTTTTCCCTTGCAGCCCTGTTGGTAGATGCTCGAACCACGACGCTTCCGTCTTGGTGTACAGCAAAGGAGGCAATACGTTGGTGACAATTCATGGCATAGCTTTGACATTGCAGAGTTACTTGCTGATACCTGAGCGGCGCCATATGGATGTCTTGGAATTCATTGCATCAAGGGTTCGTTCATGCCCAATCAACTGTAGGTAAAATCTCTTTTGGATTGTGTGATGTAGCGCTGATTGAATGCAACTTCCCCACCAAGAACCCCTGGACACACGGTTTTTTTTTTTTTTTTTTCAAAGCTTGAGGACCGTTCTGTAGGGATCTTTTAGCGTTATGAAAAGGAATGACTGTCTGGTAACTCTTGGCTCCGATGGAGACATGGAGGGGAGGCTCACCGCTCTTGTGACTGATCGTTCCTTTGCCTTGCAACTTTATATAAAGATGCATTTGCAAAAGACTTACACCATCGCTAGTCTTGACCGGTTCCGTTGATTTCGCCTGACCAAATTCCAGGTAAATTGTTGTTGGATTCTTATTCCCGTCGTGGTAAATGCGACTGAAAAGCCCACTTTCGAATTGGAGCCGCTTTTTGTGGAATGCCACAAGTTACTCAAATCATTTTTCTTCTCCTGTCTCTCCCCCCAAAAGCAAACAGCCCAAAAGCACAGCCAAAAGACAAAAAATCAACATTTGCTCACCTGATGGAGAAATCACTCTTCACCCCACCTTGCCTAATGCAGATTATGTTCACAAAATAAACGGGCGAAATAGTCATTTCTTAAAGGTCCCACAAAGTTTTGATGGAACACACAATTGTCCAAAGGTGTGAGATCTTCATCATCTTGCAAAACGCGTTGAACCGCTAGACTTGTTTTTTTTTTTTTCCTTCTGTGCGTTTCTGGCACACTTCCGCTTCCAAAGGGATTTTGAAGAAGAAAAAATAAAGTGAACAGAAGGGGGACAAACGGTGCCGCAAAAGGGAAACTCACCACAAAAGAGAAATATATGACTTGTTAAGAAAAAAAAAAACCATAAGTAACATTACTCCCAATGGTTTTGTTTGAGTTGCAAGCTGTGCAATTGTTTCACTAGTTGAGAGACTGGACCATTTTTCTTTTTATTCCTCTGAACCTCATCATTTCCCCCACGAAACTCTACATTCTGGAGGGCTTTTAGTGTGCTTTTTAAGTTTTCTTTATGGACGTTTGTCGTCTACGATAGCCCCTCATCTCCACCAGCTATGGCTCAAAGCAACAGCACCGCAGCCTTTCGGTGCCCATATCCTTTTACAACCTTTGTGGGATCAACAGCGAACCCAGGCTGCTTTGATTTGCCGGGAGGGAAATGTTGCTTGGTATGTATGGTTTGCCATAATGTAGCTGTTTGGAATCAGAGGATATGTTTTTGCTAAAGTTGTCCTGATATTTGTAGCCATGCCCGAAAGCGGACTACTTTTATCCTCCTGGGTAAGCTCGCTTAGAAAAAAGGAGCACACTGGACTCGAGGCTCACATGAAAACTTTGTTACAGGCAACAGGATTCGATCATGACAATGTACCAAGTCTTTTTCGCCATCTCGTTCGCCTGTGCCCTCTTCATCTGCACTACCTACATCCTCCTGCCGGGACGAAGACGGTATCAAGGATTTCTCATCCTAATCAACAACATTGGATTGGCTCTGTATACGGGCTCATCTCTCATAGCTCTACCCAATCCCAAAAAGACCGTCCAGTGTGCAGCCGACGGACTGACAGATGCCAATTGGGATAACAACACCAGGTGTGCTGTGCAGGGAACAATGTTTGTCTTGGGGACGCACATGTGTCTATGGGCTGCTCTGGCCATTATGATCAACCTTCATGTGGTAAGTTGAATGCGCGCGATCATTGGTGTATGATCAACGAACATGTTGGCTCACCCTACCGCCAGAATGTCGTCTGGCGAAGTAAAATTCTGGAACGCTATTCAATCCTCGTTTATTCTACCATCATCTTGATTTCCGTCGGCCTTGCTGTCATTCCTGTCATTCAACGAGACATTGAAGCTCAACCTGGATTCCTCTGTGCAGTTTCAGCCGATGTGGTCAATCAGATATTTTTCTATCCACAAAGCGTTGCAGTTGGTGGTATACTACTACTCCACATTGCCACTGGCTGCTGGATGTTTGCTGTCAGTCGGCGAGTGTCGGATGGAAAGAAAAACTGGAAAAAGTGGGTGAGAAAGCAGATTCGAATGCAGTGGCGACCGGCAGCGTTTACTGCACTGTCTCAGGCGGCGTGGTTCGCATTTTTCGTAAGTTTTGCTTGCTTTTTTTTTCGCGCAGCTTTTGATCGTTTGTTCCTAACGGAGACTGTTTAACAATCACTAGATCGTCTACCGCACCAACTATGACAAGATCAAAAATCATGTCACGAGTGAAACTCCCTGGATTCGGGCATGGGTGTTCTGTATCCTACAAGTGAACTCAACGGAGGGACCGGCAAAGTGCCAAAGCATTGCAGCACCTTACGTTCCAGGCTTGGGCGGAGCGGCCTTTGGAGTTAGCATTGGTATCCTCATTGGAGTATTCAATTCACTCGTTCTTATATCTCCTCAAATTATGCGGGAGTGGAGGGAATATCTGGGATTCGCGAGACCTATGTCACGGGCCACATCGTTGTCCAGTGGTACCGATTTTGAAATGTCTGTCAGCGATGGAAAAGACGGAGCAAAGTCCGGATCAACCTACCCAGTAACTCGCCAACCAAGCCAAACAGCTCCTATCGAGGAGGCCGGAAAGCGCACGCGGACAAGCTCAGAAGCCTCGTTCAATCTATCTAGTACCGTAGAATCACGCTCCCCATCCCCACCCGCTACTCCCACATCCACGACCCCAATCATCAGTAGCAAACGCACACGTCCCGGCGTAGAATTCGCCGATACACATCTGAACCTCCCATCGTCACGACCCATTTTGCGTTTAGATCCCATAGCTCCCCCACGAGGTGCACCGTCGATACTAACGGATAGATTGCAGTATCCAGCACCTGTCGATATAGATACCCGTGTATCTGGGGATAGCACTGGACCCGGTGGGCGATATACCAAACCTGACGGATGGTGATAATTGATAGAGCGTCTTGTGTAAATTTTGAAAGCTTGAATGGACCTGTAGAATAGAGAGGGAGGGAGGAAGTCGAGCAACAGACTACCATGTCAGGTTGCGGGCGACTTGATGTTTGTTTATCGTTTCTTGTTTTGCTGTAGTTGGTAATTAGACGTCGTCGACAGTTTTATGCACATTACTTGTTTACCAATAATAGTGTGTGACTGCATGTCCAGTAGGATTGTCCTCCTCAGGCGTGTTGTCTATTCTGGATTTAGATATAGAATACATGAACACAAATAAGAAAAACTATACAGTAAATTCAAGTAGCATAACACCAAAAAATGGAAACGATTGTTCAGTTATGCTCTCCTATCCTAAGTCTCAGACTTCTTGCCCAGCGGCCTGCTTGTTCACTTTCAAACCCCCAAAATCGTCTTTGCGAACCCTCCGCAACGCTTTGAACACCCGCAAGGACATGCGCACATCCTTTATTGCCCAGTCCCATTCCATACGTTGTTGGGAACACGGATTAACAACCGTACGTTCTCGCTCCCATCTTGGGACACCGCAACAGTCAGGTATGATACGAATTAGCTGTAGAGGGTGAACAAGATGAGTTTTGTTCTTTGACAAACAATGACAAGCCGAATCAACATACCAGCCCAGCGATGAGAGAGATGGATCCGAAAGCGACGCTGAAGAGCCATAGTGTGATTGGTAATGGAACCGTACTAAACACTTTCCCTCCAAACTGGACAATCAAGACCTGTCCCAACACGGTGCCAACATTGACGCCCACAAAGAACTTATTTCTGAGAATCCCACGAAAAGGCACCGCAAAAGAGTCCCACAATTTCCACACCCAAGAAAGCCTCCTTCCTTGACGCCGTGCGTTACTCAGCCCATCGATCACCCGACAATTGATTTCATTAAACAATTGCATGAACACAAATGCATTGAAGCAAACCGTTTGCAAAATCGCCTTGTCGTGATCGTTTCCGTCCACGTCCAATCCCAAGAGTTTTGGACCTAGGAGAAGCAGCCCGAGTGATCCTATAATCTGCACAACAGCTTGCCCAATGATCATCTTATACATGGGAAAGGTTATCAAGCTGGCTGTGCGTTTATCGGGACGTCGGTTGAGCGATTCTTCTGTTGGGGGATCAGTCGCCAATGCCAAGGCTGCAAATGTATCCATGATGAGATTGACCCAAAGAAGTTGGACAGTGGTGAGCACAGCGGTGTTTTCAGAAGATAAAAGGGCGGAGATGAACGTCAAGAGGACCGCAGTGATGTTTACGGTCAATTGAAATTGGAGGAACTTGCGAACAGCGTCGTTCACGGCTCGGCCCCACATGATAGCTTTGATGATTGAGATGAAGGAATCATCCAACATGACGACATCCGAGGCTTCTTTTGCAACCTATCATAGCGAAGAAATTAAACAAGAGTCCAGAAAGAGCAAAACGTTGATATATACCTCTGTCCCGCTTCCCATACTGAATCCTACATCCGCCAAATGCAGGGCAGGTGCATCGTTCGTCCCGTCTACATCAAGATCATTGCAAACATGTAAGAATACACTGGTAACAAGCCGAAGCTAATGTCACAACGTACCACCAGTCACAGCTACCACTTGACCCATTTTCTTCAACCACTCTACTAACAGTCTCTTATCCGTAGGTGATGACCGAGCCAGGACTTGAAGCTTTGGGATGAGCGCCTGCATTTTGTCGTCGGACAGCTCCCGAAAGTCATGACTGTAAAGAAAAATGTCAGAAACATAAAGCGATTCCCGTAACCAAAGCAAAATGTTAACCTACCCTTCGATGCATAACCCGCCACGAGTGTATATACCGCATTTGCGTGCAATAGCTTGGGCCGTTACAAGATTGTCACCCGTCACCTAAACAAGACATTGACATGAGGCAACGGACTTTGTGGCATACTATGTGGGACGTGACTAACCATCCGGACAATAACGCCTGCTTTCCGGCATTTTTTGACGGCATCTAGCACGCCTTCGCGTAGAGGATCTTCGATCCCAACGAATCCGATGAGAACGAGGTCACTCATATCGGCTTCTTGGTCGCCTTCAGTGGGTTCGGTGCTCTTGCCCTGGGTCTTCGGTTGGTTTGGTTGAGCGTCTGAAGGGTTTTCGCCGTTTCTTTGGTCTTTTTTAGTTATGGGCTTCTCCCTTTTGCTGTTGGATTCGTTGTCGCTATCATCCATTTCTTCGTCAGTCTGGATAGCTTCATCTTTGGTTGTGACTGCTCCATTCGCGTCCTCTTTCTCTGTTTCCTTCACATCGCTGCTTCTCTTGACGGACTTTTGCTTCTTGTTTTTTCGCTTTTTATTACTTTCCTTTCCAGGTTCTTGTCTCCGATTTTCATTTTCCACCGGTTTATCATCCGTTTTTGTATTCAATTTCTTGTTCGTCTCTCCGGATTCTTCATCTGGTTTATTGCTCTTCTTCTCGTTCGCCTTTCCATCTTTTTTGTTGCCGGAATGTTTCGGTTTTTCGTTTGGCGGGTTACCGCTGACATCTTTGTACGCCAGTAAAATAATCCTCAGAGCATCCTCTGCGTACCTCCTCATAATTTTCCTGAATTTCTCTCTGGCTTCCTCGTCCAAGGGTTTCGGAGCTTCACCCTGCGCTTCCAGGTACATCGTACAATCTCCCAAAAGACATTCGGCGGCACCTTTAACGTACAGCCGTTGGGTACCATCGTGATTGATAAGGGTAGCTTCGCATTTCTTTTGAGAACTGAATGGATATTTGTGGATGATGTTTGCTTTTTCTCGCACCTCTGTGTACTCGGTACCAAGTTCGCGTGCCAGTTGAAGGAGGGCAACGTCCGTGCGCGAACCTATAAATGTTAAATTCTTGGATTTGTTGGTATCCTTTGGATGGTCTCCTTGGGCATTGTCATTGGATGAATGCGTATCGCCATCTCGTTCATTGTTAGTACCCTCCGAGTTATCATCAGCGTCTTCCTCTTCGAATGCAGTGGAGTTGATTGAAATACTCTCAGTGACTAAGGACAATAGTTCGTCTCCTAATCGTTCTTTGAAATGGGAAATACGGTGTTGGGAGCTATGGTGCTGATTTGCATCTCCTTCACTGCCACTGCTTGTCGGAGACTCTGGACTTCCATTCGTTTCGACATGCTGATCATGGTCATCTTCGGAAGGACGTTGCTGTTTGCGTGGGGGTAAAAGTTCCACTCCCCCAATTTTCGCTCTGACAACGGTCATCTCATTTTGAGTAAGGGTTCCAGTCTTGTCCGAGCAAATTGTTGTTGCGCTTCCCATCGTCTCGCTAAAAACGAGAGCAGGCATATCAGAGAAAGATTAAACCGTGATTGTTTTAATGTGAGCGTATTTCAACATACCAAGCAGAAAGAACTCTAACTAAATTTCCATCCGTCATCATTCTGGTCGTAGCATATGCCAACGCAATGGTTACGGCCATAGGGAGACCTTCCGGAACAGCGACGACCACAATCGTTATACTCTGGATCACGATGGCCACAATAGCGCTGACAATGTTAACGGCGGGAGGGATGTCCTTGTCTCGCTGGCTGGGTGGTGTATGTTGCCGCGTGACGAAATACTTTATCAAAAGAGTGCTGTAGGTGGGCAAATGTGGTCAGTCGATGCGACCCAATTTTCAATGATCAAATGACAAAAGTATTGATCCTCACATGAGCATTAGGATTGCTGCTGCGATGCCGAATTTGGCGATGCGCTCTGCCAAAGCCTGTAGCTTTTCTTGAAGCGGTGTAGCAGCATTTGCATCATCGTCGCGAATTGACTGGTGAATTACCATCATCGCTGCGTGAGCAGGTCTCGCAGGTGTAAACTCCAAACGACCTTGCATCACGTACCATCATAGCACTACCCATGACCGATTTTTGCCCTGAATGTTCGCAAACCCGCCAGAAACCATGTCAACATTCTCATTTGTAGGCCAACACACGTAGCAACCTACCGACGCAACAGACGACTCCTCTCCCCATTCCCTCCTGGATCCTACTACCACTCAACAAGACGACATCCTCACCGATCTTCTTCTGAGTACTCTCACTCTCCCCCGTAGAACTTGATTCGTCCACTTTGAGCTCCGATCCACGGACCAGGAGACAATCTGCGGCTAGGATTTCACCAGAATCGAGAAGGTAAATGTCCCCAACAACTAATGAGGTGCTTGGAATCGTCACTTCCTTGCCGGATCGAAGGACTTTGACTTTCCGATCACTCTTTTTTGCGTTCAGTTTCCGGAATTGGCGTTCTTTTTGGTCTTAATGACGAATACTTTGGTCAGTGCGCATCCCAACAATAGCTCTTTCCATATCTCACGTACAATCGTTCACAGAGTTTGTCAAGACCACGACCAAGACCGCGACCAGGATTCCCGCTCCATCGACCCATCCAACGCTAACAGATTCCGAAAGTTAATACTTGGGGTCGTTCCATAGGAAGCGAAAAGGGCCCCGTATACCCACCGAGGCTCCTCTGGATCATGTAGTCCTACAATGTAGACAGTCAATGGCGAATCAACCGAGAACAACATTGGGCGGCACAATTCACCAACCAGAAAAATAATCCTCCCATATACCAATCCCCAGTGAAATGAGTGCCGCTATGCTCAAAAGAACTGCGAAAATGTCAATGTAAACATGTTTGGAAGGTTCGGAGAGAAGCGATTCGAGTACACCTACTCAAAGTCTTATCGGACAATGCCTCCCACATGAGCTTACAAAATGGTTTTGATTTCGCTTCTGGAAGTACCTATACACTATGTCAATCCCAGTGTTTCAAATATGAAATGACGGCTACATACATTCTCGCCATATTCTTCTTTCCGCGACTTTTCATCCTTCTTGTCCAATCCCTTATCAGGATCCACTTTCAAGCTCTCCAAAACCCCATCAACTCCTCCCAAGTCATCAAGAAGCGCCTGATTCTTGTGGTCTTCAAATACAGCAGCGAGTTTGTCTGTTATACCAGATGACTGATCGTTCGAGTCAGAGGAGGTCCGGACGGGATGGTAGTCGCTGCTTCGTGGGCGTGCCATGATGGTGGAAGCATAGGACAAAGGAAACTTTGGACAAGAAACTGTTCAGAGGAAGAGCGGAGCGTGGCTTCACGCTTATTACGTCACTTGGTTTTTAGAGTTTACAATGCAGGATCGAAATTACAATATACCCTAATTTGGATTCATTAAGTAGATGAGCAATTAACCTTCCATAACTTCGGCACTTTTCCGACTCTCCAACCGCTTTCCGGGTTATCGGCCCAGCAATTCACCATATGGAAATACAGACCCAATTCCCAACTATGCTATCGAGGAACTGAGACCAAAAAGTACGCAGCGCTGCGGAGCTACCTTGAGGTGGGATGTTCAGAGTCGACAAGGAGGCAATAATGACATGATACAAAACGGCGCTGTGCAGGCTAAACACCCGGAGCTAAATCTCAGCATTCTGCATGGCAATTGTCAATATGTGAATATGTGAGTGGGCGGTCAGATGTGGCAGTGGAAAATGCTGGCCGTAGTAATTATCTGACACCATTAACCCAAACCCATATCGCACTGGTCATTCCGACGCTAACCAGACTCAATATCCCTTTTTGGAAGGCAAACGTTTGGAACAGGTGACGGGTGAGGGTAGTCACTCTGCACACTTCATTCAAGTCATCCGCATGTCGGACGAATTGCTTTGCCGGGCGGCGAAAACGTTGTAGCTGTCAAAGATGTGGGCGCCTCGGTTGTCCTTATTGTGAGCTCCGCTGGCCTCACGTCCAGAATGACTCTGGATATTGGGTAATATTGCATAGAATGCAGGGCAGACGTTATTCCAAAGTAGCGTCAGTCTCAAATTACATCTCATCTAAAGGAAACTCCTTCTTGGAGAAAAAGAAAAATGCCAGAAAATCTATCTAGAAAATTGTATGCTATATAACGAGCTACCATAGAAGGACCCCCAAAACAAGAAAAAAACACATGGCAACTCAACTATAACCACTATACGGGCCTTGACTCCCGCTATATGGATTTCCATAATTGGCAGATCCACCGACATTTGCTGTCGTTGCACCATAGCTTGTCGCATATCCATTTTTTCCGTAGCTTACGGGAACGGGCGAGCTTTGGCGCGACAAAGTTCCTTCATAGTATCCTCGGAGGTCATACCCATCATCAACGGTTCGCGTGTCGCTTTTGCTTCGCAACCGGCTGTAGATTACGTAGGGCGTACTCGCTGTCCAAGCTGCTCGGCCGGTTCCAAATACGAGCCAAGAACAGATTCCGACAATCGCCCCAGCGTATTCTCTAACGCCAGCTTCCTTGTCACTCTCTGAATATTCTTGTCGAATGACAGCGCGGATCTGCCTAAAGTTGGCGCACACCATGATGGTCAAAAAGACTATCCCCCACATTCCGAATCGGTAACACATTCCCAGTGATATCCGGGTCGTTGCGCTACTGTTGTTACTGTTCGAAAATCCCTTGCTCTGGGATGATGTCGCTCGTTCGGCGTCGGTGTCAATACGTTGTCGGTAAATCAGGAGCTGGACACCTGCATGAACTAGAACGTACGACAAGGAGCTTGAGAGGCCAGTACATGTGAAGCTACAAGGGTGATCATGTACATACCGATCATGAACAAGGTCGCTACGACGAACAGGGAATTGAAGGGTAGTGGGCCGTACGCGTAGCCATTGATGGGAAATTGATATGTGCAGTATACTAATAGGATGCGTCAGCCGTTTATTTACGTCTTTCAGAATGAGATTGAAGGCGCGATCTTACCAGCATGTGGACCAAAGCCAATTCCTTTTGGTTTTTGACTGTTCATGATACCGACCACAATGGTGGGTATCAATGACAAAACCAACGACGAAAGAAGGAACCAGCCGAACCGTCGGCGTTCCTGGTCTCGAAATTTGCTCGTGCATACCGCACTCCACACGTTGAAGGTGAGAAAAAAATTGAGGACATAACTGTATAAGAAGAAATAGTGGTCAAGCTCAGTGTCGCCTCAACACGCTTCTTCCTCATACTTACAGCATACTCAACAGGTACAACAGTACGAGTGCCTGCACTCTACACACTTCGGGATCCAAATCCTTGATTTCCCCTTTTGTAATGCCCATCCCAATGAAGATTACCAGCGCAAACACGATGTAAAGTCCTGCAAAGACTCGTAGAGTAATGTTCTTTTTGACACGTGTATATATGAGGATGAGTTCAAAGGCAGCGAGGGCGGAGATGGCGTAGAGGGCGAGGAGGACAATGTTTTTGACCTCCATAGTGAAATTACTTGAACGGTGGCAATAGAAAAGGACCGAGTTGCGAAGATGATTCCCGTGATATTTTGATTCTAGTCGCGCGCAAGGTCAACGTCCCATAGGGCGAGACGCTCAATTGGAAGGGCTAGGAGGGACGCTCAAGTAGCGAAATGGACGGACGGTAGCTCGAACAAGCACTACTCGTTCAACGTCGTTAACAAGGCCATCGACACGGAAAGTAAAACGACGACGGCAAACGGAAGACGAGCCTGGTGGGGGGAAGCCGAAAGCAAGTCTTTTTTTTTGTCTGTTAGCGTCTGATTTTTTTTTTGCCTGTTTTTGCCTTTGACTTTCCGTACACAACGTTAGTGGCCATCGAGAGGCTTGAAAAACCCAATTTGATTAAATCGACAAATGGCGTGGGTGTTTAAATTGCTGGCAACATAAGTTGCAAAGTGACAATTGTCACCAGACATCATCAACATTGTCATCATTTACCCTTTCTTTCCAAATTGTCGCACATTTCTTGCATTGATAAATGTTATACTTCAAGCAAAGCATTGCACCATCCAAGTCTGCCAGCATGTCCCCATGGGAGGTCTCATCGTTTTTCCTTTTACTGTTCAACTGTGGTTTAACAAAAGGAGGTGCCCGATCTGCGCACATCTGGGGCGTTGGCAGGCAGGCAAACGAGCAATACACCAGTACTGCACAGAAGGAAAGTCTCTTCTTTGGCAATGAAAGACGCAAAAAACAAAGTTCTGGCTGGTACCATTGGTACGGCAGAGGAAGTTGGACACGTGTGTTACGCTACTGACAAATTTGCAAAACGAAAAGAAAAATCTGTCCTTCCCTGTCACTTTGTCTCGTGGACAGGCTCCTTTGCCTCCCGTAAGTGTGGCTCTCTCTCACAGCTCCCATGCTCCGTAGTCGTGAGACATGCAAGTCAGGTGGGCTTGTCAGTGCAGTGCGAAGAGGAAGTTGCAGTGCCTCCAAGTGGAGAGGAGAGCATGCAAGTTATGGCATTACTCTGGTCGACACACCACCTGTGGCCTTATCGCAAGAGCTGCGCACCAGGGGATAAGATAACAGAGTAGTAGTGTACACCTGATGTATGGCTTCCATCCACATCTTGAGACAGAGTTTAACCAAAGTTCATTGCGGAGATTCTAATTTCCGATTACCATATCCCCAACTGGTCATATAACTTAAAAAGGCAAATGGTGCATTTTGCACGTGATCGTAATTAGTCCGTATTAGGCATAATTAAACCATTGGAACCAGAAGCGGTTTTAATTTACGCAACCCGCGAATATAAAAGGGGGCGGTCGCTGGGTCCCCTCCGCTCTTCTGTACCAGCTGGTCATCGACACGCTTCAAGACACGACCCCACTATTCAGAACACCTTGCGCAAAGTCCTCGGTTGACTCTTTGCCAACAAACTACTTTTTTCCAACACCGAACACACGACACACTCAGCACCATGTCTGGACGCGGTAAGGGCGGAAAGGGACTAGGAAAGGGAGGTGCCAAGCGCCATCGCAAGATTCTTCGTGACAATATTCAGGTTTGTGAACGACGTTACTGCTTGGCTGTATGACTCTTGCTTAACACTGTCCTCTCCTATCACTCTAGGGTATCACCAAACCAGCCATTCGCCGTCTCGCACGTCGTGGTGGTGTCAAACGTATTTCTGGTCTCATCTACGAAGAGACTCGTTCCGTCCTCAAGGTGTTCCTCGAAAATGTGATTCGTGATGCCGTTACCTACACCGAACACGCGAAGCGTAAGACCGTCACATCTCTAGACGTTGTCTATGCTTTGAAACGCCAGGGTCGCACCCTCTACGGTTTCGGTGGATAAGCAAGTTGATTATCTTCGCTCGGCGTATGCATTTTGGCTTTGTGGCTCGGTGGGAGCCTGTGTTTTGTCAACACTTTTGAAGCCTGTGTTTCTTTTTGTCAACACACTTTGAGCATCTTATTGTATAAATTGATACCTTTTGTAAATACAAACCATGCAACACCACATCAACCGCGTAATTGTGCGGAAGTTTTGTTTTTTTGACCGTTATCGTTATCTATTTTTTTTCTCTGAGTGGCTCGAGTGGCTCGACCACCAGCTGTGACGCGCTTGGCGCGCGATGAACGCATGAGCAAGTGATTTCAGGGGTGTATCCTTTATTAGGATCCTTTCTACTTAGATTCTACATAGAAACCACGTGGCAGCAAGGGGTATAGTGGGCCTATGGCCCAATGGACAAGGCGCCTGACTACGGATCAGGAGATTCCAGGTTCGAATCCTGGTAGGCTCGATCTATCGACACTACGATCTTTTTTTTTCAAACCTTTTTTCATATCCCCTCTTGGGTGGCTGATGGACGCATCTTTTTCTGTTTCATCGTGACAAGGTGGACATGCAACACTGGAATGGATCGAGGCAGAACGGCATCATTTTAATGACCACACCATACCCACATGGTGCACACACAGAGATTTATACACACACACACACACAAGTGGTTTTGTCCTACTGGTGAACCATGAAGCATTGAGCACATCTAAGCAATCCCCATATATGCTCGTGTTGCATATTTCTTTTGTGGTTATTGGACCGACTCACCGCATTGCCTCGCTTGACATTCCACTGGGAAGCCCCATTGTAACAACTGTAATCACTTTATAACTCTATTAGACAAGTGCAATCAGACATGTCCATATGTAAATGCCATGGATAGCCATGTTCTAGTGAGATGGAGAGAGATGGAGAAAAAGAAAATCGGAAGCGCGTCATGTTCGCAGTTCTAGTTTAAACTCGTTTGTAGATGGCACAGCAATTACGTACTTTCCCCCCCCTCGTTTTGCATGTGTGTGTGTGTGTGTGTGTGTGTGTGTGCTTCCTTTGCTCATTTCGCATCTGGTGCTGGTTCCTTTCCCCAGATTTTTATTTTTTTTTTATTTTCTTTCTTGTTTATTCTGTTCAATTATCGTATTGCTTTTCAAACGGGCATTCATCATAACAAGGCTTTACAAAGGTTGAAAGCAAAAAGGACACACACAAAAGGGCCGACGGAAGTTGGGCGTCAGTTTAGGATTTTTGTTCCCCTCCGTGTGTACGTTACGCCAAAAAAAGTGACGATTAGCCGCCTAGCCGTGTGCGCGTGAAAAAAGCCCCTTCACCCCGCCGGGACCCACCCAACTGCCCACCACCAACACACACACAGATAATCCAACACGACGACTGCAGTCTGCCCCAAACACTCGCCCCACATCTCATTGTTCGTCGAGCCCAACTAGCAAAAGGCACCGCAGACTCGGGACCTCCGACTTCCTCTTGAAAGGAGCAGACCTTGCGGACTCTGGTGACTTTTTTGTGGGGAGCAACAAGGCATCCGAGAATGAGGCGGGAGTGATTCAACAGAGACCTTTTCATTCCTCAAACAAGAACAGCAACAACGTACACAGCAAGTAGCGCAAATGGCCGTTCCCCAACAACCTCCTTCTCCTGCCAATATTGCAAACTCACATTTTGGTAAGTAGTTGAAATGCCTGAGTGATTCCCAACTGAGGTACTGGTGAACGGCGTCGTGTGTATGCAACGAGGACTGCGAGTCGACCCTGCACAAGGCCCGGAACCTAGGCAAAAAGGATTTGCCATTCTGCTTCTGCACAGTCAGTTCTCGACCCGATTTACAGAGTGCACCGCACATCCACATGCTACCTCAATCTTGCCAAAGAGATTTGGGACTAACTTTTCCCTTTGGCGGTCTTTTTCTTGCTAGGGTTTGGGCATTACCGAAGGGATTCACGGACCATGATGGGGCAGACGGCAACCGACGCTCGCTTGCTACTCGAACGGACCGGTTCCGATCTTCAAGCCTACTCCATTTCTACCACACAGACGAACGTTCTTCCCCAACGGACAGCCTCCAGACAACCTACCTCGTACCCTTTACGTAGCAGCTCTACCACCTTTGCCCGGCACGTTGGATCTGCAACACTGGCAACTCCTGTTCAGTTGTACGCGCCGTCAAACACCGATCCAGCATTGTACGCACAATTCCCACAACACATGCTAAAGCCCATTGTAACGCTGCCACCTGTCCAGCAAACTCAGCAGCCAGCATTTCTCGGTGGCGCTTCGGCCGAAACCTACCATCAACACTTTCAATCTTCCCTTCAGCAAACGTACGCTCAACCGCATGCACCACAACTGCAACAACCAACAGCTGCACCATCTTCACAATCGCTGCAACTCTTGCAGCCGCTTGAGCCTCTGCAATCCCTCCAACAATCCGTTCAACAGCCGCAACAGCAGCAGCAGAATCACCATCATGCATCAACGCTCTATTTTCCGCAGCACAACCTTCCCGCCGGAGCCACGGCCGTTGTCCCCGTCGCCCCCGGCGCCGCCTATCCCCTCCACGCCGTCAATTACATCAATGTTGCGAATCCAAGCCCGTCATTTGCCCACTTTACTGCCAACATTACCCAAATGCCGAATCAAATCTACTATCAGCCGATCATGTATCACCAACCTCATCCGATGCCGATGCATGCACTCGCATATGGCGGTTTGGCATACAGTGGTCTTGGAACGCAGGAAATCGTTGGAGGCTCGACATTTAGCGCGCTGGGAACATCAGGTATTGATGGGTGTAGCATTGGAACAGGGTCCATACCTGGATCGGCAATGGGACTGGTTCCTACGCCTGCTTCCATTCCTCCGACCAGGGAATGGTTGGGTATGTCCTTGCAAATTTTAGTAGTGTCGCGGTGAGGTGATTGACTTGTTCTTTCCTCTATAGAACAAGGACTCAGTATAGCTCATGACAAGTACAATGCGGGCGACTTTACCGGTGCCTACAACCTACTGCAGACGCTGTACCAAGCGAATCAAGCACATCTTCCTACGCTACTCCTACTCGGATGCACATGTTATTCGCTGAACCTGCATCAGTTGTCCATTCATTACAACAATCTGATCCTGCAACTGGATCCGCACTTTGCAGAGGCGTTTTCCAATCTCGGAACAACCTATCGGGTATTATTCATTGTATGTTTATCTGTATGGGCGTCTACTAATCGTGTCCTGCAGGCTATGGCGCAGAGTGGTGTAAACAATACCGGAAGTCCAAGCTACAACCTGAACATGGCTGAGCAGTACTATCGCATTGCGATTTCAATTCGACCAAAGTACTGGGATGCGAGTATCAATTTGGCAGGATTGTTAAGCGCCCATGGCCGTTATGATGAGGCGATTCTCGTGTACACAGCATATGAGCGCGCTCTGGAAGAAGAGTTTGAAGCGGATGAGAGATTTGATTTGATGGTCGATATGGCCAGAGACGGCGCAGAAGACAGTGACTTTGTGACACTGCTGACCGACATTGAGAAGCGACGAAAGGCGCGCATCACCTATGAAAAAGCATCCGGTGCAAGTGCCACTGGTGAAGGTAGCGGCTGGACAGATGGACGGCGTCGAGATTTGTATTACGCAAAGGCCAGTCTTATTTATGCGATGGGGGATATCGTTCGCGCCAAGTACGAGTTTATCAAGGGTCTGGTGGCGATTGGTCTAGATCTTGTTTCCGTCTATTCTCAGGCTAGCAGTGGGGTGCTTCCTCTTCCAACCGTCACACCAGCGCAATCTTTGGTGGCCTTGCAACAGCAGCAGCAACTTAAGGGCCTCAAGATGAATCTCGAGTACAATAACACAGCCTCAGCCATCCTGCAGACCCTGGCAAAGATTTACCAGGACGCCCAGCAAATGGCGTTGGCTGTGTCATTCTACTACATTGCGCTGAGTATCTGTCCCAATGCGAATACCTGTAACAACATCGGTATTCTGCTTGCTCAACAGCGATTACACGAAGCTATTTCGTGGTACGAGTTTGGACTGAACCTCGAGCAGAACCACGTGCATCTTTTGACGAATCTAGGGTCTGCGTTGAAGGATCGAGGGCAAGTGAATGAAGGGATCGCGTGCTACCAACGCGCAATATCTATTCAACCCGATTTCTTTATTGCCTTGGCGAATTTGGCGAATGTGTATAAGGATTTGGGTCGTGTGGAAGAAGGAATTGACCTCTACCGACGAGCCCTTAAAGTCAAACCCGATTTTATCGAAGCCTTTTGCAATTACGTCAACAGTCTGTTGTTTATTTGCGATTGGGAAGAGCGGGATAACAATCTGAAGAGGATCTATCAGATTGTTGATCAGCAGCTTCGAGATGGTCGCAAACAGGTGCCGAAATTGGTACCGACTGTTCTACCATTCCACACATTTACCTATGCCAGTTTGTCGGCTTGGATGGTCCGTGAAATCAGTCGGCGGAATGCGGAGCGGGTGCTGTGGAATGTGTTGGTTAGCGATTGGTTCCCTGGATTCCCAGAGCGACCTGTTAAAGGGGCGGCTGGACTATTGGATGGCAGAAATAGTAGAAAGGTTTCAACGGTGCAGCCTAATGCAATGGAGCAGGCAATGCATTACCCGTATCCTTATCCACCACCACCACCGCCGAGCCCACACATTCGGGTTGGATACTTGTCGTCCGACTTTAATAACCATCCACTGGCACATCTCATGCAGTCCGTGTTTGGTCTGCACGATCGGACGCGGTTCCAAGTTTATTGCTATTCGCTTTCTCCCACGGACAACTCACCATATCGGGCCAAAATCGAACGGGAAGCAGATGTCTTTTTGGATGTGTCGAGTTGGTCCATCAAGGAAATCGTCGAGCGTATCGCATTGGTGGATCAGATTCATATTCTGTGCAATTTGAATGGGTACACCAAGGGCGGACGTAATGAAGTCTTTGCTGCGCGTCCGGCTGTTGTGCAGATGCAATTTATGGGATTCGCTGGGACGATGGGCGCGGGTTCCGTTTACGATCCTGACAATGATAAGGAAGGTGATAGCAAGGGGCAATCAAAGATTGAGGAGTTGTTAGATGATGGAGACGATGTAAATACGACTGAAGAAGACGATGATGAGATGTTTGACAATGTCAAGGAACGGTGGTTGGACTATCTTTTAACGGATGAAATCGCATCTCCGCGCAAATTTGTGTGTGGTGAACCGCTGGAAGCAGACGAAAAGTTACCTACGGATGGTACAAAGCTGATACATCGTGGTCTTGTCCGCCGAAAGGATGATGCAAATAGGATTTACACGGAAGGGCTGGTGTTTATGCCCAATACCTATTTCGTAAACGATCATCGGCAGGGTTTCCGGGAGACGGAGGACGCTGAAATTGATGACATTGTCATGGGCCACGGGGCGTCTGTTAAGGTGGAAAACGGCAAAACCGGCGATGTGGATGAAGGATATGATAGCGATGATGATTTAACAGAGGATGAGCGGTGTCGCTGGCGCAAAGAGCAGATTCGGCGGTTGAAGATGCGGGGAGAGCTGTTCCCATGGTTGCGGGAAGATACTGTTATATTTGCAAATTTCAATCAGTTGTACAAGGTATGCTGTGTTGGCTTTGCTTTCTCACTGGTTCATTTTAATAATTCTTTCGGTGCTAGGTGGATCCTGAGATTTTTGCAACGTGGATGAGGATTATCAAACGCGTTCCAAATTCAATTCTTTGGCTGTTACGCTTTCCTCCTGCAGGAGAAGCGTATTTGAGAAAGAAGGCTGTGGAATTGGTTGGAGAGGCGGTTGCTCAGCGGCTCATCTTCACTGGTAGGTAAAAATGGTTATGTCTGTTTGTATAAGCGTGTGTCACCAATTGAATTTCTGCAGATGTGGCACCCAAACATTTGCACATCCATCGCGGCCGTATTGCGGATGTTTTCTTGGACACGCCAGAGTGTAATGCCCACACGACTGCCGCAGATATTTTGTGGAGCGGAACTCCGGTCGTCACTTACCCAAAATATGATTTCAAAATGTGCAGCCGAGTGTGTGCATCCATTGCGTATGCAACGGGCCGATGGTCGCGATCGGATCTAGCTGGTTTGGAAGGAGGGATCGAGACTGCTGAACAAGCCCGGGCGGGTATTCGGTTGGAAGGTGTGGAGCGGCTCAAGGACAAGTGGCTTCTGGGTCATTGGATGGTTGTCAAGAGTTACCAAGAGTACGAAGATATCGCTGTGAGACTCGGGCGTGGAATGAAATGGGGCTGGAAACGCGTTGACGCTTGGAGAGATCATGTACGAATGACCAATAAGCGACCGGTGGTCAATACCATTGTGGAATCGAGGGCTATTTCTACTAATCCGGCAAGCACGAACCCGCGTATCCCCCCCAGGCATATCTTGGCTCAACCACAAACGTCGCAAGAACACAGTCGACAAGTTACTCGATCTCAAATCAGCCATACCAGCAACAGCAGCCATATCCCCATGTCGAGCAGTATTGCGTACGTCCTGAACCCGACCACCGTACCATGTCTTCCAGATACACCCCCACCGCATCTGGCCCCTGCTACACCCTTTTATCCCACCCGCCCCACCTGCACGCACATTTACACGCCCTTGTCAAGCACCCTCGCCATCCGCCTCCGCCGCCGTCTCTTTCTGACGCGAGATGAGTGCGCCCTCTTTGATACACCTCGTTGGGTAAGAGGTCTTGAACAAGCCTTTGAGAAGTCCTACGCGCGGTGGGCTCAGGCGTGGGCAAGACTTGAGCGAAGACGGGGCATCCCGTCTAGCACGAAACGGAAGCAACGGGCCACGTCACGATGTTTGTGGATTAGGGACACTACTGTCCATGGTGGACGGACGGGGCATTTGAATTCTATTCAAACCGAGAGGATGTGAAGGGAGAGCTGAACATTGGGATACACAATGGATTGAGTTGTGTGTTTTATTTTCTTGTGTAATTTTCTCTGTGTGTTTTATTTCTCTTTTTTTGTATGTAGTCTGGGTGGGATGTATCCTCAAGGTGAGAGAGTATAATACGGGTTTTACAGTTGGGAATCATTGGGTGGAGTGTGTTTTGGGCGTGGTAGACTTTTTTTTTTTTTGTTGCGTTTGCTGTTTTTGCTGCCAGTGCGGTGCAAAACAAGTTTATATTTTCTTTTTTCCAAGATGTACTTGAGTTTGTATCAATGTGGGATTTCAACTTGTGTATGTCGGACTTTGAGGTTTTGCGTCCTTGTGGTTGACGATCACCTTGTCGCCGTAAGTCATGTCTATGTCTGGTTGCCTGGATATCATATCTGGGCGGTGAAGCTCCTCCAGTGCCCGTTCATATTATTTTCAGTTTGCGACCAGAAATATGGGAATGATATCTGTTCATGTTTGTGCAGTACCACGGTAACTTATTAAAATACCAAGGATTATTCGATAGCGAACAAAAGACATGAAATGGAATAGAACTACTCTCAAGGTTGTCTGCGCTTGTTGCGAACAATCACTCCCCAAAGACCTCCAATTATCCGTTGTTCGTTGAGCAAAATGCACACGCATTACTAATGGAACAAACCAAACAAATCGCTTGCGTCGTAGCACGGATCTGCCTTTCCGGATGTTCCACTTGATTAGTAAAGCGGGTCGCGCAATATCATTTCTCATCAACAATAATCAACAATATAAAAAGGGGGCATCGTTACTTGTTGCATCACTGCATCATTCAACGTCTTTCGCTTAACGCTTATATCTCAACAAGCCTTTTTTCATCGTCCAGCTTATAATGGGTATCAAGGTCCACGGAGCACCTTTCTCGACATGCACGCAGCGTGTTGCTGTTGTCTTGAGGGAGAAGAACGTCCCTTTTGAAATTGTTCCCGTTAATTTCGCTGCAGGACAGCACAAGGTGGGTTTGGCAATTGTTTTATTTTTTTTCGCATTATTGTGTGTATAGAAAATGAGTGAATTGTGTGATTCATGATTTTATGGTTGTGACAGAGCGAGGAGTTTCTCAAGTTGCAGCCGTTCGGACAGGTTCCTGTTCTAGAAGACGATGGGTTCTTTCTTTTCGGTGAGCGTGCGCTGGAACTTTGCAGTACGTAAAATGCTCCTACTGATGGGTTCCTATGTATGTTACCAGAGTCCCGTGCAATTGGTCGGTACATTGAAAACAAGTACAAGTCCCAAGGCACCTCGCTTGCGCCATCTGATCTCAAGGGTGCTGCCGTGGTTGAGCAATGGGCTTCTGTCGAGGTTGCCAATTTTGATCCGTATGCGTCAGGAATTGTTGCTGAATTAGTGTTTAAAAAGTGAGTAGGAGATGTCAGCGTGTTGCGAATGTCCGTGCCTATATGCTAATGATGTTATGCCGCATAGATTGTTCAACCGTGGCGAACCCGACTTGGAACGAGTAAAGCAGCTTCGTGCAAAGCTGGACGCTACGCTCGACGTTTACGACAAGATTTTGGCAAAACAACCCTTCCTGACGGGTCAGCAAGTGTCCCTTGCAGATCTTTTCCACTTACCCTATGGTGCCAAATTGTTTGTTGCTCAACACGGTGATGCGATTACATCTCGGCCTAATGTGAAGGCTTGGTGGGAGAGGTTGACTTCCAGACCGACTTGGCAAGAGACCGCGGCAGCTGGCGCTCATTAAGCTTGTTATTGTTACCAATCTTAAAGGGCATTATCTTTGTTAGTTTTTGAAAACCTGAAAATGAATATCTAACATTTTAAGGATCTACATCTACTCAGCAGCTGTTTTTGGGTTGAATGCATGTGTCTCCTCGATTGTTTCCACCCGGGACGGAGCTCCATTGGGCTTGAAGCCACTTCTTTGTTTTACATCCCCACCATGTTTAAGCAAGTCTGTAGGGGCTGTAAGGTGCAATGACCCTTTGTCTCCTGTGGTGTGAACCCTGTGGTTCCTGCAAACAGATCGCGATTTGAAATTTGAGAATAATACGACTACGCATGGCTGAGTGCGTCTCACTGGGATCTTTTAGGTTGAAGGTTCACCACAAAAAGGGTAACACTGTCCAGGTCCGCCCCCATGTCATGTCCACAGACGCATAATCAATCGTCGATACCATGAAGAAAATATCTGGTAGCGCGGCCACAAATAGCAAGCAACCCTGAGCATATTGTCGACGCAGTTCTTTGACGTTGTGTTCAAAAGTCGGTCAATAACATTTCTCCTGGGCCTGGTTGGGTTCTGTCCAGAACTTTTTCTGACCCCAAAATATAGACCGTTGCTGTTATTTTCCTCCCTCCGTTCTGAGTGCAAAACCCGCCCAGATGAACTTGAGCAGTTTTTCAGACTTTCTGTAACCTGCACTTACTCTGATCACTACCAAGCACTCGATTTTAAGCACTCACTGAATTGGGAGCTCCACGGAAAGCCTCTTGGGTCAGTTATTTTTCGTAAAAGTAAGATAGTATTATCGAAAAGACATTTAATCCGCTACTGTCGGTGCAAACAGAAGTACATTCTCTATCAACATCCAGCCATGTCGGTATGCTCAGATGTATACAGTGACCCTGTGCTGACGGCCGTCTATAACAACAATCGGGACCTAATGATTTACGCACTCATTATGGCGGTCCTGTCTCTTGGATTTGTTTGGGATTATCTACCTAGTCTCCCCATGCGGGCGAGTCGATATGCCATAATTATTACCGCTGTATCGAACGTCCTGTGGACAATTGTAGAGATTCTCGACTGGACTTATCCTTGGTCCTGTCAAGCATTCGGCCCAAGGGGTCTAATTACCATGCAAATTCTTACGTTGATCTTTGACAGTATTGCGAACAGTGGCTTTGTCTTCTTCACCATCTACCGAACGGTGAAACTCTTGACGAGAAATGAGCGAATTCACATGCTTTCGTCAACTGTGCTAGCCCTCCTCGCCGGCACGACGTCCATAGTCGCTTGGACAAATTACATCAAAAAGCTCACCAGCGATGAAAGTATTCTCGTCGAAATATACGACAATTGGGTTATCATCTATTACGTTCTCTGGACAACGGCGGTAGAAATGGGTGCTTTGACGATAGTTTTGCTCAAAGTTTTTCAGGCCGCTATTGTTCGCAAGAGAATCACCAGCGTGCAGCAACAAAGTAACGCAAGCTTATGGCACGCGACGCTTGGAATTGCCATCCGCTACGCACTCATCATCGTGCTCCAGTACTACAATCTCAAGTACTGGTTTTCAGCCACCCCCACAAACATTGCAACTGCGTGTTATTCAACCCTGCGTAGTATCATGGTCATTCTTACGCTTACAGACCAAGTGAAAGTACAAACCATCCTTGGTATGAACAATGCGAGCCAAGCGTCGACTGACTCAAATCCTCGAAATCCTGTGAGCAAAGCCTGTGCTACAGGGGCAGGCCGAGTAGGGTCGATTCTGAGGACTGATATACAGGATTCGGTTTGAGGACTTCGTTTCTGGAGATGCTTTAATGTGTAGGGTTATTCTGCTACGCGTGTTTGAATATGTTTTGAAGGGTTACCTTGGATGAGAACCGTTGTCTGTAGGGAGCTCATTTATGTACGGGCACATTGGAAGACTGAGTGCTCAACAGTTTAATATTATATTATTTCTGGTCGACTTTCCGGTGATGAGAGTACTGTTGTATATTATATATGTATCTACATATTTCTCAGAAAATCATAGCCCTCTCTACATCTAACTTGTCATCATCTTCAACTCCAAAAAGGACACAGCGCCAATGCAGCCAGCCTGAAATGCATTTTCGCAAATGGCCAAAAAATAACCGTCAACGTGAGGAGAAATCCGACCATGCCATGCAACATCGCAATGAATATGCCAGCGACAATGATGACTCCATAATTAACGAGAGCTAGATACCACTTGGGTAGCTTTCTCACTCTCCCTTCACGTTCTCGCTTGGGGTCCAATCCATATGGACAGACGGTCATTGGCACGCGACGCAGAATCCACCAAGCACCGGGAAGCAAGACGATCGTCAAAGCAACCAAGAAGGCGCTACAGATGTATACCAAGGCCAGAAAGAACCCTCCGAACAGTGCGAATAATCCATTGGCGATCATTGCAGTAATTCCTGTGATTCTTGACGTTTCTGTAAAGTATTTGAATGGTACTTTCGTTGGAGTCCTGTCACCCTCGTCTCGTGCATCCGCTTGACGTGCGAAATTCAGAAAAACTTGCTCCAGTGATGTCCGGCTAAGGGCATAGTCTTCGATGCCCGCATCTTGGACATTTTGGCGGTAGGCTTCGATGGCTTCGAACACAGTCGCGAGTGACCCAATGGAATGCTGCGAAATTTCATATCGTAGATGTCGGTTACCTTGTTCAACGAGCTGAGCGTTAGGGAACGTGTTTGAGACGAAATCTTGAACTTGAGAGGTTGACTGTTTCGATCTAGTCTGAAGATCGAGTTGGTATCCGGACCCGTAGCGTGTCCTTAGATGTTGAGCACTACCGAGGCAGCGCAGTTGTCCAGCAGTCATAACTCCGATTCTGCGATCAGTGATCAGAATTTGAATAAAGCAACCCATGTACATAGATGTGCGCCGCGATATGATTACCTCGTGCTAATCGCCTCGGCCTCCTCCATACTGTGAGTTGTCAATATGACTGCATGCTCTTTCCTCAAGTCTTGGATCAGATTCCACATTGATCGCTTGCTGACTGGATCCATTCCAGTACTTGGCTCGTCAAGAATGATGACCGGAGGTTTGCCAATGACGGCTATGCCAACAGATAGTTTGCGGCGATTGCCCCCACTGAGATGGCGACTCTGTTTGTCTGCATGGGGAACGAGGTCGAGCGACTGGAGAAGAGCGTTCACGGTCATTGTGATTTGTATCGTTGGGACACCTTTCAGCCGCGCGTAAAGTTCCAAGTGTTCTCGCGTGGTCAGCGTGGGCTGTGATTCAAGTTAGGAAGCGTACAGGAAACAAAGTAGCGAGTAAAACCATTTCTTACCAGTAAAGCGTCGAATTGAGGCGTGACACCCATTGACCGTTGTACCCTCGAGAGGTTGTCAAGAATCGAGAATCCATTTACAACACAATCGCCTCCAGACGGCAGCTGATCGCCAGCCAAGATTGACAGCGTTGTAGTTTTTCCTATTGTCGGCTACATTGAGTGCCACGCTCAGTGTCGTGTGGTGATCAACGATGCTCACCTGCTCCGTTTGGTCCAAGCAATGCAAAGCAGTCTCCACGATTGATGCCCAAGGACAAGCCCTTCACCGCTTGCTTTTCCCTCCCATCCGCGTTGGCTCCATAGTATTTGATTAATCGTTTGATCAGAACTGCAGAGTCTTTTCCAGCTGCCTTCTCCACACGTTGTCGTTCTCTGACTACATCCTCATCATCATCTTTGAGATCCTCTGCAGATCCTCGATGCGCTTGACGCTTTCGCAACGCTTTCGCGGACAACCACAGCACAAATCCATCCCACATATCGCTGCCGACCGCTCCAAAGAAAAATACAAAGCACTGTGCAATCTGGATAATAAGCACAAAAGCGATTGTCTCCCTAGGTGTGCGAAGCGCAATATCGCCAACAGTACAACGCAGTGGCCCATAGTTTGCAAGTGCTAGGAAGTTGTAAACAAATCCCGCGGCGGGACTGTAGACAGAGACGATACCAGTAACAAGATTCAGCGTAGATTGCGGTGATTGAGCACCGTAGAAAAGATTCATCAACAGGGTAATGAAGAAGAAACCGGCTCCAAGCAGGATCGCAAGGATACTGCCAGTAGCACCGGCGGAAGTTTCAAATCGAGAGTGAAGCGCATACTGCCAGTGGGTAAAAACAGGCACAAACATAAGCTCACGTCAATAGTGGACACTCGAAAGGGAATGATAGACATACCCCGAATGCAGATGCCGACAAAAGGTACACTGTATGGAGGGAAACCATCAGTAACCAATAATGGGTGCGCATGTCGAATCTACATCAAGGACTTACGTAAAATTGAGCAGAATATCCATCCCAACGCATCTTTGATCATGGGCGTCCTGAACGCTGCAAAAATGACGGTAGCAGCGGCAGCAATAGCAACGGCATTGATCACATCCCACAGCCAATAAGCCAGCCAATATGCCAAGGGCCTTGCCCCACTAACTCTTTGCTGATGCATCGTCTTGCCCATACGCTCCCTCACCAGCGATGCCGTTGACAGGGCAGGAAGAAGAGCAAAGACAGCAACGAGCATCAGGGCCCCGCCTATCGTGCCACCGTCTGACACGTCCATAGCGCGCGGGGATGAGAAGCGATGGATAGCTGAAGATATTGCATAACGACCTGCTGGGGCGGCTGGGGTATTGTTGAAACGGGAAGCGATGAAAGCATTGTGGGCCAGGTTGATAAGGCTTGCCTGAACCACAATTTCCCCAGAAAAATCTGCTTGTGCAGCGTTATATGACCCATCCCAGGTAGACGTGTCTGCGTTGGCGACAAAAGTCGAGAACTGAAGGGCCGCACTGAAGTTGTATATGGAATTATCGACGTGAAATTGGTACGCTGTATCATCGGGCACCACAAACGGCTGCACAGTCGGGTCGACCAGATACACAATCGCATTGTCAGGCTGAACAATGAGAGGCTTATTCGACCAGTGGAGAGGAACGACTGGCTCTGCCGGGGAAGGTGTGCAAGTACCATCCAGGTTGCGCATCATCCATGCCACTACGATTGTAGCAACGATTGGCGCCACGAAACGGACGATGGGAAGGATTGGTTGTCGTCGGTTGAGGAAAACCACTTTACGGAAAAGAGTGTACGTCTGCTGGGCGAAACTTGGTAAGCGCTCTGCCTGGGCGCCAGTTTGGAACACGGTCTGATTCTTGCCAGCGACATTGATCACTGTCATCTCATGACCACTGGCATCTTGAAAAAATAATGAGGATTTGGGCAGTATAACATAGGAGGCCGACTGACATTACCAAGAGAGACCTTCTCGTCATGTCGTACAAGTGTAGACTCATCTTTCTCCTCAGCACTCACGGCGATTTTCATCAACACTTCCTCTAAACTAGTTACCGAAAGCTCGTAGTTTTCCACACCTAGGGCCAACCCCTTATCTCCCTCAAGACTCCTCAAAAGCCGCGGGAAACTAAATCTAGATTCTTTGGGCAACTGGAATGCAATTTCCCGACCGGCCTCGCTCCGTAGTATCGCCTTCCCCACAAAGGTCTTTACAAGCTGTTCAATGGCTCCAACGTCCGACAGACCGTTGCGCAGAAGCGTTAAGGTGTAACCAACTCCGAAGCGTTCCTTTAAGAACATGGAAGTACCCCAAGCGCGAAGTTTGCCAACTGCCATGATAACGATGCGGTCTCCCAAATGATCTGCTTCGTCCATGAAATGGGTCGTCAGGACAACAGTGCGCCCTTCCTTATTCATTCTCACAACGTCCCAGATCGCTCGACGACTCAGAGGATCCATTCCTGAGGTAGGCTCATCCAAAATCACAATCCGCGATCCGCCTAGGTACGCAATTGCAACTGAGAGTTTTCGTTTTTGCCCGCCAGACAAAGTTGATACATAACTGTCTGCCTTTTCGCTTAGATCGCATCGGGTGATGGTTTGCTTTACTTCCAGTGCAACTCCTTGCCTAGCCGCCCCCTTCAAACCAGCGAAAAGTTGCAGATGTTCTCGGACTGTCAGGGTTGGCCATAAAACGTCATGCTGCGGACAAATTCCCAAGGTATCTTCGGCGAGTTTGGCATTTCGGGCGTCTCGAGGCTTCCTGCCCCGGAGGAGTGCCTCCCCGGCAGTCGGCGAGAGAAGACCTGTAAGCATGGAAATCTACGGCGGAAGAGGATGAGCATCACCACACCAATTCCAAGTTATGGAAGAGCACGGTAGCCATCTCACCAACGTGGTCTTTCCAGCTCCGTTCTTCCCTAGCAAAACCATTGTCTCTCCCTGATAAGCGTTCAAGGTCAGATCTTGAACCGCATGCTGAACTTTTCCCGTTGTCGGGTTTCGAAAGCTTCTGCTCAGATCTCGTATGCTGATACCAAACTGGCCGCTGCTAAGAGTATCTTCAATTAGCGGAGCATCATTGCCCAAAGGTGAAAAAGCCGTGTTGCGGATTTGATGAGCTGGGTCTTTCCTCCAGAACGAGTACCAAGGCTGATGTCCGCTTGACACGGATGTGACAGTTATCTCCAAATACCATCCGAGACATGTGTATAAAATCGCATCAAGTACGAGAATGAGAAGACAAGTTGTAAAGCGAATGCCCTGATATTCCTCTGTAGACGAGCTATCATTTTAGTAATGAACGTATTTTGCCTGGAAAGAAGGCTCCATACCGCTCCAATTGGCAAACTGGACCCCAATTAGCCGCCCTTCTTGATGTGCGATGACCCGGTTGGCGTAGACAAAAGAAAATGGCGAAATGAAAGAGAGCGCCACTTTTGCTGCAGGTCCGAGGTCCCACTGATTATTGTTGATAAACATGGCAGCAGCACTGACGCCAGTAAACAGCCTTTGTATGTGACGCATAGCCGACAATGTTAGGGCAAAAACATAGCAAGCAGTGTTTGAGCAACTTACGCTATCGAAAACAGTCCACCTGATCGCGGCGACTTCATTAAGACTTCAAGAATAAAGGCCCAGCCAATGACCGGCAAGCTCGAGATAACAAGCCATAGAAACAATATGAACAGATTCGTCCTTGTATAAAATGTGACCTTCATGATGACCGCGGAGATCAGCCACGCTGGTAGAAACAACACGGTGTAGGTAACGAGCCAGCTGATGTTGTAGGATGTTCGACTGAGACCCATCATGAACATGCCCTCTCGAAGTTTCGACTATGTCATCCAGGGCGTGAGTAGATTTGAATGGCCAAAATCGATCGTCAATATACATATCGAACAGCATACCTTTTTTTCCTCTAGGATGGCGGCCACGATCGAATAGAGCATCGGAAGAAAAACACATATGAGCATACCACCAGACCCTATGATCTTCTGTGAGGAGTACGGACTATTTTATCCAGGTGAAAGCAACGTACATCCTTCCATGAAGGCATAGAACATCGCCTATTATAAATGATCACACCCAGCTGCTTAAAAACTAAGTGTCTGAACATGTACCGGGAAGTCCACATACCTTTACAGCGGCTCCCTGAACCTGCTGAGTCGAGACTTTACTTGCACTAAGCGTGCTAGCCAACGTTGGATGTATAACAGAAATGATGGATCTTTCAATTGCGACCTGGACATCGGCCATTGCTTCCTGGGGGAATTGCGAGGAGCATTAATATGTAGGCGAGTTTGCATTGTGTCACTTGAATGCGTACTGGAGGTTTGACTTGAAACCGCGCCCATTGACGGTCTATCGGATCCATTCTCAATGTATAATTCCATCCACCAGCAGAGGTCGGACCATGCAGTACAATGCCCGCCAAGCAGTCATTGATACGGCAATACTCATTCATTTGGTTATCGGAGGCAAACTGGCGAAGGCTGCCAGCGGACCGACTGAGCTCGGTGACAATCGCATTCACCTCGGGACTTGCAGCATCAATGACATAGCCGAGGGGCCCTAGATTCGATACTAGGTGGCGAATATCACTGTGGACAGGCTGAACACTTGTGTTTGCAAAGTTATTGAAATTGCTCCAACTAGTAGTGATCGGGAGAGTAAATAATCAAACGATGAGACTGATACTCTGAATGAGAAAGTGCTGTGGACTTACGTGTATACTACAAGGGCAATGACTACTAGAGGAAGCAGGAGTGCAATACAGAACTAGCTTACAATGACGAATTTAACATGGAAGGACTACCGTGTCTACGATCGTAAAGCTACCTGGGATGCTAAGGCCCGACGGCGGACCTGATATTCCTTTCTAACGAGTAAGCCTATGGGACGCAAAAAACCGCGCGCCATGGTGAGACTGGTGATTGTCGTCTATGAGAAATGTAAAAGGACTTGTAAGAGATCAAACGGGAATATGTTGGAACTTGGGCGATAGGGTTCGTCGGCTTGATGCTGACCGTTTATTTATGAGATGAGTAAAATCGGCCATAGTGTTCGGAGGAGCCAAGACTTGGTTAGCGCCGAGCCCCAAGGAAGGCTGTGTTCATTTCTCTATTTATTTCTTTTTTTCTGCTTCAAATTGTCAGTGCTTTGGCGGTCCCTCCAGCACGACCATGCTGCCAAATGTGCTTAAGCAAGTAAATGGTGATTCACGGTTTGGTCGACAATGACTAAGCAAGCAGCAAAAAATTAACAAAAGTACAAAGATATTTGCATGCACGCTCTCCAGTCCAAACCTTCTCGTTTTCCTTGCTGTCTTGTGAAGTTCAGACATTCCAAAAACCTTCCTACTTCATTTACAAGTACGATTCTTGGCATTATCCGTGGCAGTGCCTACAAAGCCAAGACAGCGCGCAAGACTGACAATGCATAAAAAACGGAAGAAGAAAAAGGAACGCGCCCTAAAAACTTTTAGTGAGTCATTTAATTCCATGCTCTGGGCGGGAGTTTGATAATCGTGGCAAAATGGAAACTATGCCAGTCAACAACCTTCGAAAACACACTCCAGAGCTACCTAACTAGAACTATTTGTTTTAGATATTTTCATCTGGGTATAGCGATGACTGAGAATTCACTAAGAAGCCTTGTGGTGTGCATGCCCGTAGTGTTTGAGAGAATCGGGCATTGATAGCAGCTGCCGTCCCATCGGTATCATCTTCCGGCCATTAATACCTCTCCACTCTGGCAGTGTTTTTGTATAGCCAATCCATCGCACAGCAGCTCCTGCAAAGAGTACAAGGCGTGATAAGTAGGAAACGAGATTGGCAGCATTTAAAAAAGATCTGTGATATGTAAGCTATGGGCTTGAAAAAGTGCAAGAGTATTCCATGTCTTTCCAGGGCGTGACGGTTGTAGTAGGGGGTTTTCGCCTTCTATCTAGTACACAGAGAGGGTGGATTTTCACATATGCAGTTGTTATTAACGGTCCGTATATACATGGATTTACAATTTCATCTCTATGGTACAGCTATCGTGTATACAATGTATAACCCTCCAGTTCCTCTATGATGAGGTAGTGATGTTCGCACCACGCTCTCCGTAACATCGGGTACCTTCTCTTCCACGCTGAATCGGGGTTTGTGCATATTAAGCGTCGGCAGCAGCCTTGCCCTTCGCAGCTTTCTTGGCACCAGCCTTGCCCTTCTTGGCAGCAGCCTTACCCTTCTTTGCCGCCGCCTTCTTGGCAGCAGCCTTAGCCTTATTCGCAGCTGCCTTCTTTGCACCCTTCTTCGCACCCTTCTTGGCACCCTTTTTGGCAGCCTTTTTCGCAGCCTTTTTGGCACCCTTCTTTGCAGCCTTCTTTGCAGCCTTCTTGGCAGCCGCATCCTCTACATCGCCAGCAGCGGCCGCGACTTCTGTCCCATTGTTGGCAGCTCCCGCATTAGGATCAAGAACCGCGACAGCGTTAGGATCGGCAGGAGCAGTCGCATTGTCTGCAGTGTTCGGATCGACCAAGGCTGCGGCGAGTCCAGCGCAGTCTCCACCAGTTGCACCGTTATTGCAGTCAGCCTGAGCCAGGCCCTTGCCCTTACCCTTACCCTTACCGGCGTGTGGGGCTATAAACAGCAACAGCATATCAGTCCAAACAAGTCACGCGCGGCAAACAACAAAGATCCCCAACTTACAGGCAAGGGCAACTGCGGCGAGGACAGCAACAGTGAAGAATGAGAGCTTGACCATGATTGAATTTGCGTTGTAGTTTTTGTTTTGGGAATACGATGTTAAGGTCAGAAGTTTAGATCTGGGATCGGGATCTCATATTCCGTAGCTTCTTTTATAACCCAAGCCCAAGGGAAGTCAAGCGCAAAAGCCAACTGGACCCTAATGAAACAAAACCGCGATCTAATTGATTATTTAAATGTTCCACTAGCATCAAAACTATTCGATATCTCACCATAACTCTTTTGTTTCAGGGGCTCCCGGAACACTATTGGGTACGTCAATGTGGTACCTATGCGGATCATCAACCGAAACAACCCCTGTGTTTGCATGTTTGCACCCTTGACTTGCCTCCCTCCGTTTCCGCAACTATCGGAACCTTTGAATATTGAATTTCGATTATTTCTTGTTACCCCTACCGAACATATCCGTTATTACGGGGTGCACCTGTGCTCACCAAACTTGTTTCGTCGCCGCTCAACATAAGGACAAAATTACGCCGAGGACCCCTATAATATGCAACGAAGGGCGATTCATCAGATGCTGCATTTGCGCCGCACTTAGACGGATAGTGCACGTTGCGTCTGCTGTGTCATTTTGTGTAGACATTCGTATTTCCAATGCCTTTCATGAAAGGCATTCATCCCATAATTCTAGGATTACAAGTTGGAAATTCACAGATGAGAAGCGGATGCATTCAGCTTTTCTGAGGTACAATTGACACCTGGTGTGTAAAATATTTTTGGATGAGCAGTCACCAACTAGAAATATTGTCAGGTGTGACGAGGATAAGAATTAGTGGATTGGTGGGTCTCTGTAAGGTCCCTCGTCGCCGGGTGTGTATGGTACCCCTATGATGAACCATCATACGTTACAATGCGGCAATGGTTTACGGGGAGTGTCATTGGATCCTCAGGTTGACAAGAAATAAAAACAAGATCAAACGTGGCGATCCGCTGGTGTCCATTAATCAGCAATTGTGTAATCAAAGTTACACGCTCCTACACCGTTAAAATCACAATATGTAGGTTATAGTGCATTAACTCAATCAAGTGCACTCAGTCATTGCCCACATCTTCACGTTAACAGCATGGTTGCAATCTCGGTGTTTAACAGTGTACAGTACAGTGTACCGTGTACGAGTGATACACGGGATCTAGCATTTGTGTGAAGTGGGTGCACCCGCCAGCACTTTGATACGCATCTACTCTCCCACAAGAACCGTCTCACAGCAAACAGCTCGTTTTGCTCCTTTCTCCTCCGATGACTGCACGAGGCTCAACCAATAATGGACCAAGAAAGACACAGAAGCGGAACCTAGTGCATAAGACCAAAGGGAAGGAGCCACTAAAGAAGGGAAAGGAACGTTTCCAGGTATGAAGTTTTGTACGCGAGGGCAATATGCATAGAACTCAACTTCATGATGTTTCTTTTGGCTCTGGTAGGGTCGGGTCGAAATTACCGGCAATGTCGCTTACTTACTACTGGACCAAGCGCCAGGTGAAACGACTCAGTCTTGGGACAAGTAAGGCTACCAGGCTTTAATAGGTTTACCTTGCTCTAGAAATGAGAGAGTGGCGGATGCGTGATCATCGCAGGGAGAAGATGCACAAGACTTTTGCAAAGATCAATATAAAGGTATGATAATTTGGATTCAAAGTTGGATAAATTTTTATATATTGCAAGTATGTCATCCTTATTGGTAATTTTTCTATAGTAGTAGTATCTGATATAAATAATACTTCATATATAAATTGTTTGAGGTTACAATTATTAGCATTATTGGTCTATCAACTAGATGTAGGTTATATTTAAACCTATCCAAGGGCTGGATGGGTCACCCAGAATTGGGTAACCTGTGGAGAAATTGGTAAACTCAGTGGACTCTAAATCCACCGTAGAAATACTTGTGGGTTCAAGTCCCACTGTAGGAACGACTCTGATAAACCGGTTCGCTTAAAAAAGCATCAGATGACCTTGATTGAGGTTTCC